ATATGAGAATCCGCACTTGATGAATATGTTGGTGCAGTACATATGTACGTCTGAAATGTCTCTTAAGCGGATAATATTTTGGTGGGTAGTGAAAAAACATTTACTGGATGCGGAAATATATCTTACGAAGTTTTGGAATCCAGTGTAGGTACGATAAAACAAATTCACTTCTATTGACTAGAATGTTAAAATTGAAACCTGATTTTGAGGTATTTCATTTATTAAAAGAATTTTTTCTGTTTGTGTATCTTTGATTACGAAATATGCAATTAAAACCATGTGCTTCTAAAATGCATATTGTAACAAGCATTCTGAGAGTATTGCATTAGCAATACTAGTCCCCTACCGGCAAGTGTAATCTGGTTCCCGTTAAAAATTGAAAATGCCATAATTCCGTCAAAAATCAATGAAGCGGAACGAACTACAAACTTGATCTATAACACATCAAGGTAAAGTCACATACCAAAAATCAGCTCAATATCTGCAAGCGTTTAGAAAAAAAAGTGCGGAAAACCCTGAAAAATTGAGAAGGTCGTAATTCCGTCAAAAATCAGTGAAGCGGAACGAAATGCAAACTTGATCTGTAACTCATCAAGATGCACTCACATACCAAAAATCAGCTCAATATCTGCAAGCGTTTAGAAGAAAAGTGCGGAAAACCAAGTGGGACAGACTGACAGACAGACAGAGGGACAGACAGACAGCTAGACAGACAGACAGACGGACGGACAGACTCAGAGGAAACCTATATCCCCTCCGGTTTCACCGGTAGGGGACTAATAATGAGCTTTCTTAAACGAAGAGGCATAACATACCAGTATTTTTTCATGCAGTCTTTTTAATTTCTTTATCACTTCCGGTCTTCTGAGGACGGAAGGATTGATGATTCGCGTTTAGCCCTTAAATTGTTGACTGATGCGATTCTTTAATATAAAATCAAACAAGCATTCTGAGAGTATTGCATTAGCAATACTAGTCCCCTACCGGCAAGTGTAATCTGGTTCCGTTCCCGTTAAGAATTGAAAATGCCATAATTCCGTCAAAAATAAATGAACCGGGACGAAATGCAAACTTGATCTATAAGTAATCAAGGTAAAGCCACATACCAAAAATCAGCTCAATATCTACAAGCGTTTAGAAGAAAATTGCGGAAAACCCGTAAAAATTGAAAAGGCCGTAATTCCGTCAAAAATCAATGAAGCGGAACGAAATGCAAACTTGATCTGTAACTCATCAAGATACACTTACATACCAAAAATCAGCTATCTGCAAGCGTTTAGGAAAAAAGTGCGGAAAACCAAGTGGGACAGACTGACAGACAGACAGAGTGACAGACAGACAGACAGACGGACGGACAGACAGACAGACGGATGGACAGACTCAGAGGAAACCTATAGTCCCCTCCGGTTTGACCGGTAGGGGACTAATAAAAAGAAAATTGCGATATTTTTTTTTATAAACGACATGAAGCGCATTGCGGTTTAGTAGGGAATTACAGAGGAAATATTTTGAGACATATAGAGACCTTAAATAAATGAACTAGTTTGCGGACATCAAATCGATATCAGATTAGATACCGTACATATATTCTGTTATGATTTACACAGCCTCGACTTGCCGCTTTCACCAGACATTTGGGGATGACTCATTTTATCATCTATAGAATAAGTGTTTATATAATTTCTTAGCGAATGTTTTGGTCAGAATACATGTTAATTTCTATGACCAAAGGTCAGTCTTTGGTTCAGAATTTGTAGGCGGGAATTATGACGAGAAAAGAGTAAAAGATGTGTTGAATTTATTTTTAGCCTTCAATACATATGCAAAAAATCCTCATCTAAATTTGCATGATCCACTAACGCACAAAATTCAATTTGCATACTTTATAAATATGCCCATTATTTATATCTCACTTAGTTTCTTAACAACTTAGCAGAGTATGTACATGATTGTATATTTGCAAATTCATAATATCTCGTACATCGAGCATTCATTCATCTAATACTAATCTGAAATTCTGAAATTTCCTAACTTCTTTGAGTAAAGATGTTTTGTACGTGAGCCTACATCGCTACATGGTACACACACACACACACACACAAACATATATATATATATATATATATATATATATATATATATATATATATATATATATATATATATATATATATATATATATATATATATACACCAGACAAAATTGCTAACGCACCACTTGTTATTCTTCTTTGTGAATTGAACATTTGCCTAATTGGTATAAGTATAACTAGTATATCTAATATGCCATCTTTTCCAAATCCAGTGGAATTGACAAATGTCTTGGTGTCATGACAAGACCCTTAAATGATCTTTTTGACCGAAAACCAATTTCCCGACGTGCACTGCGCACCGTTTTTGCCCAGATAGGAAGCTGGTAATTACCGATGGTGGTACGAGAGGTTGTACGAGAAGCAGTCTCCAATTTAAAAATCAAATAATATACAGCGATTGTCTATCATATCGCGTAGTATCCATCCAGTGCCTTGCTGTACATACCTGGTCCACCCAACTTCCGGTTGCCCCAATTTTGTGTTTATATCCACAATTTTGAAATTGTTGTGTGGTGCTATGCCGTGGTTATGTATAGTAAACATTTTTATGTTTGTGAATCTACTTGCAACAATTTTTCACTGAAGGAATGCATAATTTTTTGATTGTTTTAATTAATTTTTTTTTTTTTTTTTTTTACAAATTTCTCCAAAGGAACCCCCTTCAGACACCATACTGATTGCTTTAGCACGCTTTTCTAGGGTCAAACGCCGCAAACAGTGGATTTTTTGGTGAGTTTTTAATTAGTACAAACATAGAGAACACAAACAAAAAGAAAAAAATAGAAATTTATTCCTTTAAAAAAATATGGGCACGATTTTCATTTTTTTCTATGAAATGGTTACGCTTGAGTTAATATTGTACTTATTTATGAGTTAAGACATTTAAATGACTCATTTTTACTGAAGTAACACAATCATATATCAAATACATCATAAACAAGTTTTGAAAAGTGAAATATTAACTTTCTTGGATGGTGCGTTAGCAATTTTGTCTAATATATATATATATATATATATATATATATATATATATATATATATATATATATATATATATATATATATATATATATATATATATATAATTTCAAAAACAAAATGAAGAACCGGTACAGTTTTGCTGGGTGTATTAAAAATAAAAATCCAAAAAATCACAAAATATTTTCTGCAAGCGCTTTCGCCATGTTAGGCTCTTCAGGCCTAAGTTTTTGAGGCTACCCACCTTTTTTGTGGGCAGGCAGTTTATTGATGCTACTATTTTTTACATATGTGTTTACAGTAGGGGGTCTGTCATGTATTTTTTGTACATGTGTTGCATAATATCTCTAGTCCTTTGGGCCCCTATCTGTTGTTTTGTGTAGATATTTATTTTCATATGTAGTATTATAGGGGGTCATGATTGTGTTCAGCACCACATGTGTTATTACTATAGTTACATGTTTATGAATGACCCCCTGTGTTGTATATATCTTTTCGTCATTTACAAAATAAATGACATTATTCATTTTATTATACCTCTGTGAATTTTTTCTATATAAAAATATGACGAATAAACTTGCTATTTTTTTAAACCGTGGAATAGTTTTTGTGCTATTAGCCCATGATGAAATAGTCATCAAACTATTCACCGGCAGCATTCCGTTTCCCTCGCTTTTCATCTCGGAGCTCTTCTGGTTTTATCCAGATTGTGACGTAACATAAGTAAAGTCGGCTTCGGTATAATAAAACACCTATTTACTGACTATTCGAACAATAGCAAGTTTATCGTCCCCCTCGACAGCAACTATTTCCCTCGGCTGCGCCTCGGGAAATAGTTGCTGTCTTGGGGGACGATAAACTTGCTATTGTCCTCATAGCCAGTAAATAGGTGTATACTAATACATGTGTTCTCATTTCGCCTGCTTTGAGCAAAAAACGAGCTCAGTCTCCTTGGCAAGGTTATACAAACTAAGGAACATAAAGTTATATGTATAACTGCCTGAAGAGCCTAACATGGCGAAAGCGCTTGCAGAAAATATTTTGTGATTTTTTGGATTTTTATTTTATATATATATATATATATATGGGGGTGAGGGTGAGTGGGTGTGCGTTTGTGTTTGTGAATAAAACGTTTAATTTGCTCTGCTTTAATATACGTTATAGCCCTCTTTGATGGTAAATCCCAGTATGCATTACTTTGTTCTTGTGCTATAAAGTAATGTTTACGCTGTCTGATATTTTCTTTCTTGTCGTTAAATCTAAATAAAAGTGTCCTCAAACAATGTTTTGCTTCACTGTTTCACTTCCAGTCTAATTTTCAATCGTCTCTCAGAATGATGACCTTTAGTTTAAAATGTTGGTGATATATAAAAATTTATAAATTATACGAGTATGTTGTTTATGTTTTGTCGTTTACATGTTAGGACACATTTTAGTTGACAAGATGACATCGTTAATTAGCTACAAAGATGTAAAATCCGAACTAGTACGTAGCTAATAATGCAAAATGCAATTATGAGCGTCGTTCTTTTCACCTCAACTGATTTTAATATGACACCGCATGTCCATATTGCGCAAGTGATGTACTTGACTGACGTTCGCGCGACAGACATTACACAAATAACAGAGCATGAAAATTTCTCTGAGACGACCTTTGCCTACCTTTTTTTGAACATCAATGACAAATTTATAAATTAAAAAAAGATGTGAACGTCATACCAATATCGGTCCCCCTCTTGAATTATATAGGAAATAATTAATGCCCCGACTGTCCTAATTTTGTTTAGAATTAATTTTAGAATTTTGTTACGCATGACGGACGATCGGACTGTCTTGACGAAACTGATGACACTGTATAATTGACATTATTAATGCGTTTGTTTGTCATCTGTGGGTTCTGTTTATAATCTGTTGCTGAAGAACTCGGACTTCTCTTGTGCATTGCAAATTTCAATGATGTTTTGAAGTAGTTTTGGGAAAGTTTTATCTGTTTTGATAAAAAAAAAATAATCATGAGCGAAAATGTCGAAGGTAGGAATTCGGAAGCGCTGGAACATCGGCCTAGGGATCAAAACGAGAACTCGGATCAAGTGAAAATAGAAATAACACCCCCAGAGGAAGAAGACAGACCCACACGCAAACTGGTGGTGGTACCCGTAAAGGAGAAGAGAGTTTCCTACGCTGGCATACCTGCACTGGATGAAATTTCAGAAGATGGATCAACTACGTCATCGCGACATGATCGAAGTCGGAAAGTGTCTTTGTTTTCAAGTCAACTGACCCAACAGCAACATCGAAAGCTCTCTTGCGATCCGTTCTTGATTGTGAATCAGAGAAAATATTCGGACATCTTAGCACCAAGCAGAAAATTTTCAGGTATAAATATTCCCCCGCCTCTCGTTATACCAGGTCGCAAAGTTTCTATTGAACCGTTAAATCTTCCTGGAGTTGCAAAGAAATATTCAGTGATTTCAATTGGCTCGGACTTCGACTCTCAGGAAACTTTTGAAACTCTACCCCATGCGGACCACTACCGCCATGATCTCTATGATGTTGTAGGGGAACTACGGCAGCGACCCACATTGGACGAACTTCGCGACGACGAACGGGTAAGCGTTAAATGTTATATAGGTCTAGGACATTCTAGAGACGTTTAAATGAGCCTTTTAAACTGTCTCTGGCTGATTTCTTAGACATGCAGAGGGGAAAAGGGAGAAATGTTCCATAGATAATTGGGAAGTTTTATCTTAAAACAACCTGACTTTGATGTAGAGGTCTCAAGCGTATACTTAAAAGCTTTTCAATGGAATAATTGTTTTGACATTTTCTTAATTGCATAAGAGGCACGCACTGCATTTTTTAATCAATGGTAAAAAATGATTGGTCTTCAACAAATTGTGCACGCAAGATAATTTTGGAAAAATCAGGCAGTTATTTCGGATCACCATAATAATTTCTAAAAAGACTGTATAAATATAAAATCTTGTACGAACCTATTTTGCATATTATGAGGCTTTTCTCACATTGCATACCTTTAACGATTTGTCTGTACTGAATAAGTAATTTCTTTTGTTTTTAGTCATATTTCGCATTCTTAAATTTAAAAAGAACGAGAGTACAATGCAACGTTTTGCTTGATAAAAAAAAAAGAACTACGTAAAAGATCTATTATCTGTATGTATTTCGGAAGTCCCTTTATGAGTTTTCGGTAGCTTTAAATTCTACATTCTTCCATTTTGTCAGTGTTCTTTTTCAATCTGTTTGTATGAAATTACTGCACGGTGGGGATTAAGAAAACTTCTAATACCGATGAGATAGGTATAATCGATTTGATAAAATAATAATTCTCTGCATCCAAAATCACTATACACGTAAATGTTCTACTACTTGTACTGGCTTTAACAGAAGAACGAGAACGAGTTCTCTGAAGAAGGTCGACCAAAAAAAAAAAAAAAAAAAAAAAAAAAAAAGCTAGATTCTGATAGGTGTTGGCTCAATAAAGAACCCTCACTGCTCAAGGTCCTGAGTCCCGAGCATAGGTCTAAATTTGAAGCCCTTCATCGATAGATGGTGACGTCCCTCTATGACTGAAAAATTCTCGAATGGGAGGTTAAACAACATAGAATCAATCAATCTTCCTTCCCACAAGAACATCTAGGTACCTGATCCCACCTCTGGAAATTTCAGGGGTCCGTGTTTTACCTCCTGTTCACAGATTTGTATTGTTTGTAAGTTTTTTGAGATGAATCACTGTACGTGCTATCTTCAGCTTTTTCATTGCACGGAGTTCTTCGCTATTTATTTCGGGTGATAGAAAGTTGATGTCACGTGTCAGTTGTTTATCAATTAACATTGTTGAGGTACAGAGTCTTGTGGTTTGTGCGTGCTTGCTTATTCTGCTTTCAACTCCAACAATGCAGTGTTAGGGTCAGTCTGTTGCTTGCAATACCTAAAATTCTACTATATTATCTTTTTTTTAATGGAAGTAAAAGTCAACATTTGATGAAAAAAGAAAATTCAATTGAACCAATAGCTTTAAGTTTAAATTTGTATTATACAATAATTACGATTATAATTCCCTAATGTTAATGCTCTTCGAAAAATCCATGAAGACAAAGGACATTTCTTTCCATATCATTTTATTTTGCATAAAAATGCATAATGTGATAAAAGGATTGCCATTGTGGCAATATACTCTAGTACTCATTCATAATAATTTGGCTAATTATTTATTGAACAGTTTGAAGAAAAAATTAGAATGAATATTAATTAATGCTCGTTATACCACTTGTTCCATTTTAAAAATATTGTAATTTTCCACGTTTAATTGCTCTATATCTCGTGTATTGTATGCACTTGCATTTGATAAATTGTCGACGCTACTTTCATATATGTAGACCGAATGATGGATTACAGTACGTTTATCTGCATTTCCACACCGCGGGTGCCGATTGTCTGACCTCTGACCGATGTAACGGCTGCCGCGCGTCACACTATTAAGCAGGTCCTTTTTTTTCTTTAATGAATTACTTAAACCGGTAAAATCCAGAACTCTGGAATTTATTGTTATTACGTCAATATATGAGCATAAAGCGATTATCTAATTAGCTTAGTCTTCCTTCCTTAATTATATTTGAGCATGTTGTAACATATTGTCATTAATATAAACAAAGACTTAAATATCATCTTTCAAATTTGAGACGATGTACAGAGCTACATATATGTATAAATCATATTCTTACTATGTATTTGTGAGTTCTGTTGAAAGTGGGGCTTTCAAAACCTAACAACATTATTTGAATGCTCAAGATGGACTTTCCAAACAGACGATGAAATGGCGACATATCCTAATAGTTTCTTTTAACTTGGATGATTTTTTTTTTTACTTTATGATGCTCTGACATTGTTATGAGTATTAATGTTGTTATTTACTTGAGAATTGTTAGAACAAATGATTTATTTTCACATCTGGACGTCAAGGCGAGTATATTCTGTCAGTATTCCCCCCGGAGATGAAGAATGCGAGACGTTCCCCTTAGAAGATTTGAGTTATGATTGTCCATTGTCAGAGAGATGGATATTTCATCGTTAATAGCTGACCGAGTTTCTTGCATATAAATTCTGAGAATTTGTAATTTTCTTTTATCAAAATCAAAACATATATTTGTTTTAAAAATATACTGAAACACTCAAGTCTTCCGGGATATCATAATTGTTATTCCAAACCTTTTCTCCGAAAAGCTTGGAAAATGGTTTGATTGCTAACCAAAGGCTACGGCTGTCTACCTGTGTCTATTGATGTCTATCACCAAGGGCTACAGCTGTCTACCTGTGTCTATTGATGTCTATCACCAAAGGCTACAGCTGTCTACCTGTGTCTATTGATGTCTATCACTAAAGCTACAGCTGCCCACCTGTGTCTATTGATGTCTATCACCAAAGGTTACAGCTGTATACCTGTGTCTATTGTTGTCTATCACCAAAGGTTACAGCTGTCTGCCTGTGTCTATTGATGTCTATCACCAAAGGTTACAGCTGTCTACCTGTGTCTATTGATGTCTATCACCAAAGGTTACAGCTGTCTACCTGTGTCTATTGATATCTATCATGCCTTTTGACGGAAAAAGCTCAAAAACAGTTCTTGTAGCCCTTTCCAGTTTATATGATAAGAATAATGTTTAATTGCATTACAATATAGTAAGTAAATCATTTATTATAGTGACATGTGTTATACAGTACAATGAGAAAAATTTAATACAATTAAATATTCAAACATCCGACCTATCGGACTTATATGTCACTTTTACCAAGAATGAATGAAATATATATATAGGTATACAAATATTACGCATAGCGTTTTTTGTACAACAAAGATTGCCTGTGCATGTATGATAGATATAAATGTTTGAGGTCTGCCTAGGACAATTTTTTTAAAAGGAAAATTACACTAGCATTAAATGCAACCCCACTTTGTCTATGTAGATTTGACATAGACAAAGTGGGGTTGCATTTAATGCTAGTAAATAAATCTGTTCTGAAATTCGAATATATATTTATTACAATGTAATAAAAAGTGGCACTCGTCTTCTACTTCATCTTTAGAGCAAAAATTACATTATCCATCTTCAAATGATTCTCCTTTATATCTTCCAGTTTCAAATTCCACTTCTACATTGAGCAAGAATAGATCTTTGAAATTTTGGAGTATTCATTTCAGGGTAGTTTTCAGTATTAAAATGTGTTTTGAAATCTTTATACAAACGTAATTTAGGTAGTTGTTTCAAGTATCGTACAGCGCTAATGCAGTGTCTATGGAAAGGCAGCTTCCAACTGAATTATCCTCTCCATGTAGTGCTGGTATAGATGTGTGTGTGTGTGTGTGTGTGTGTATATATATATATATATATATATATATATATATATATATATATATATATATATATATATATATATATATATCTATCTATCTTTGCACCTTATATTTTTTTTTGTTCCGTAAATGTTTTCTGTTTATACAAAATACTTAAACTATTCAAAGTAATTTCGAAACTGAGCGAATCATGTGGAATTTCCATTTATTATTATTTTAGAACTTTGACGCACGCTCAATGTCTTTTCCCCTACCTTGAATTTTCTCCCATTCTTGTGGTTATCTTAACAAATGACGGAATATTGATATATATTCGTTTTGCGTATAGATCGTGTGTGTGTTCTATCACAAGAGAGCAGTATCTAAGATTATAATTATAATCCCTATACCAGATTGAAATTTAATCAATTTTTTATTGTCTTGATTAAAGCTGTGGTTCGCTGTGAGCCTGTGTAAGTTAATTTCCTGATTGGATAGACCGAGTTTTAGTCTCCTTCCTGGGCAGATTAGCACAATACTGATGATCTACAATCTATATCTAGATTTCCAAACAAAACTAATACTTCAACGCAAAAATCATTCCTTCCTGTACTCATTTTATGGTCTCATCCATTGTCAATGCTCCAGCAGAGAGCTAACTAGAATTCTTTTCTAAGATGCATTTATTTTCACAAACAAATATATAAGCTCTTTTTTCAGGACTAGAAAAGAATAGGTAACTTTTTATGAACCATCCTCCCTTACCATATTCAGTGCTTTTTTTTTCCTGAATGTACTGAATAAACAGATAATCTGAATTGTATTCTGAGGGAATAAATTTTCAAGGCAGATTTAATTTATCATCACATGTTTAAATGGCTTTGACGGAAAAAAGTATATTTTGGTGAGCTAGGGGAAGAAAACGAAGCACTTCTATAGGATATTATTATAGAAAAATATTGTCCTAGACATTTTGTATGCATATTACAGTTTTTCATTTACCTGCTTCTCTTAGAAATTGTCAAGCTTTAATGAATTAAAAAAAAAAAAACAGAATTAGGACTTTTGGGAATGTTTAAAAGTTTCAGCTTTCATTGTATGCATGAAACAAAAATATTCAAGAAAGAGTAGATTTATTCATATAAAAAAGGTATTGCACGTTACAAAAGCACAACCTTTGTTGTCTTACTTCATTCAATCATAATAAAATTTGCATTTTAATGCTTCACTTTAAAAATATAAAGGACATAATTAGGCGCAGGTCATACATTGTATCCATGTTGTAAACAGAGTCAAGAATGTATTCTAACAGTTTGCCAGTTTCTGTAAAATAAGACGGTAATCAATTCATTTTGCATAATTTTACTGAAAATTTTTACCAGATGCATGAATTGATGATGTTCTAGAAAACATCAGAACAATTCAGAATTTTGAGGAAAATACATGTACTTATATACACAATAGAACTCGCGGGGGAAAAAAAAAGAAAATCCGCTCTCCTAATTCGATCAAGTTTTTCAGAATTGAATTCTAGAAGGAATTTCATTTTCTAAAACAAACCTACGTCATTGCTTTATACTTACTCGTGATAACAATCTGGTATTGTAATGTTGCTTCTTAACTTGTACTTGTTTATCTTGGTTTCTTCAGGACTTTCTTTTTTATTTTGGTATATGATACCTAAAAATGCATTTATAATTTTCCCTTGAAGCAATTATTTACATTGTTAATCTTATTGTAGAAATCAGAACCTCGCACACCTCTTACACCCAAAAAGCTGTTTGAGGAGGAGCTGGAGGATTCAGCACCTCCGCCTGTCCAGAAAAAGGAGTCGTCTGACGCCAATAAGTTTGGATGGATTCAGGGTGTACTTGTAAGTTCTTTATCCCACAGTTTTTGAAATAAAAAAAAATCACTGCATGGTCAAGTGTTCCAGTGATTTAGTGAAATTCACTGGTCCACACAAATATTCACTAGTCCATCAGCATATTTGAGATACTGAAATAAGAAAAAACCAATTCAAAAACTGAGAAATTGTTTTAGTTACAGTTACATTACAGTAGAGAATAATTCCGATTACATCTCTCTTTCACTTCAATGTCTCTCACTATGTCTGATTTTAGGTTGTTCTTTTTCCTTTGATTTTATTTTACCAAATATGAAACGTTTTAATTTGTGAAAAAACTGTCTTAAAAGGGCTTAAGTTTATTCTATCATACACGCAAATTCAAATGTAGACGATCTCGCAAATAAATTTAAAAAACAGCACGTTAAGAGGTTAACATTCGAAATTATCATCTTCCTCCTTTAACATTTCTAAATTGTCTTAAAATTAATATATCATTTTAGATTAACAAAGTAAATGCCATTACAAGAAAAGCAATCCAAATTTTGCAGTGCTGGGTAATTCACTTTAAAAAAAAGTATTAAAAAAAACATGGTCAATTAAGAGAGCACACTAATATCAACTGACTGACCTTAACATGATTATGGATGTTTCCTATGGAAATTCAAGTTTTCTCACAGTTTATCATTTTAGATTTAGAAGGTACATGTTATTACAAAAAAAACAATACTAAATCTGTCATATTTCATTGAAAAATAAAAAAAGTGTTTATGATCAATAAAGAAAACACATCAGTATAAACTGACGGACCTTAGCATGATGCTGGATCATACTTTCTATGAAAATTCAAGTCTTCTTAATGTATCAAAAATTCTCTATTTATTGCTAAATCAGTGGTATTAGGAATTCTTGATTATTTCCATATGTAAATTAGATTTTCAAGATTTTTACCAATTTCTCCAAGAGGTATTCCTCATCTTCTTGCAACTAAAATGAAATATGGCTTTTATTCTTCATTTAAGGACAGATGATACAAACAGACTTTTATCAAAAATTTTGAAAATAACAACTTAAGTCATGTTAATGTAAATAAAATGAATAAGTTTAACCGCATAGATTTTCATTTTTTTTTTAATTCAAAGTTTGATTTAGAGTGACAAAAAATTGTATAGATTAATAAGGATGGTTGCAGAAAGGTAGAATTTTGAACATCATAGAAAGTTTATCATTTCATTACATTTTAGAAATTTATTATTCGCATTATTTACAATCGAAAGAGGTCAAAAATTATGTACCAATCCAAGCATCCATTTTTTTGTATCATCTGTCCTTAACCCAACTTTTAATGGGTCATGTTCCAAAAAATATGTCCATTTTTTTAAATGACATATTTTTGAAAAGTGAAAGTGGTTAATCTTTTTTTCAACTTTATTTGAATAATATAGCATTAAAACTACAAAAATCCATCACACTGCAGAAAAGAAAATATCTCTTAAAAAAATATTGACATTATATCTTTGTCATTCAAAATTTAATGTCCATCCTGTTACTTCTTTCAAAAGACCTGTAAAATTCTTTATTTTAAAAATTTCTTCAAATAATTGTACATAATTTTGGTGATTCGAATATACAATTACAGTAACTTCATTAAACAGGTGAATTAAACCATGAAAATGTTCAGGTAACTGTAAAGACTCGGGGTAACAGGAAGGACACAACTGTAATAGGATGTACAGTGAATCAAGATTTAAGACAAAAATAAAACTTTTTTTTTTAGCTTAAAGGGTTTAGAAAAGAAGATATGTACAATGAAAACATGATATTACTGAATCTTGTAAATTCGAGACACTGAAAGACATTTATGTCCATCCTGTTACCAAATTTAATTGTAAAGTGCTATCAATATATATCAGTTAATTACATGTATTTTTTCCGCATTCCATGCTGTTGCATAACTTAGAAATTTTTATAATTACGCATACGTTAAAAAAAAAAAAAAGGAATATGAATATAATACCGGTTAAAAACAATCTTCTTCTAATGTATATTTTTCACATTTTCGGATTAAAAGACCAAAAATATGGACAATTTTGTGAACATGACTCTTTAAAATACATTTTCAGGTTGCATAGAATCCAAATCACATTTAAAATTCCAAACATTTAGTGCTGAAAGAAAAATATCAGCATTTCTTCAACTGAATGGGACCACAGGTTTTTTTTAAAAAGTTTTTTATCGTTTTTGCACCGGTCCCGCCCTGGTGATAAATATAGCCTTTCCCTTGTTAAGAGTTTCTTTGACATTGTAAGTATGAATGTTTTTTGTGGTGATTGGGTGGGGGTGCTATTTGTATTTTTTTTCTGCTCAACTTGACATTTAGCTTCAAAATATGATCTTCGTCCAAGATTACATCACACCATTTTGGCAAATGAAAAATGATATAAAATGACCTTGATTGAAGATGCGATGCACTGCACATAAAAGTATGATGTCAAGCAAGCAGTTAAAAATATTTCCTTCAATTTTATGCCATGAACTGAAAGTGTGTCAGTCTCATTATGATATATAATATCAAAAGTATAAATTTTAAGTAAAGCTTTCAGCTTTATGGTATACTTTTGTTTGTCGTTGCTAGTCCATATGCTCCCCCATCCCATCATCTAAACGGTGATTTTCTAATCTAAAAAAGTCTTCTACATCGGCTTGCATGTCATAAGGGAATGCCGTAAATTATTTAAGGCCTGTTAAATCTATAGTACAAATGCACCGGAAAGCAAAGCAATTCATGGAAAAACAATAGGAATCCGTTATACTCCCATTAATGACGAGGATGAATTGTGACACAATCTAACAAGGTTATATTGCAATTGTCTAGGACTTTGCGCAGAGACTACTTGTGTATATGAATCTGGTTCGAAAGACAAAATTACTAAAATTTTAAAATGTGGGGATCAGTGAGTTTGATTTCCTATAAGTACGATCAGTGTTTTGATTTCCTTTAGGTATTATCAATATGTATTTGATTTCCCTAAGTACAATTTTGTAGAAACTATTAGACAGTGTACTGGATTTCCAGTAAGCACGATCAGTATATATTAGATTTCCTTTAGGTATGATCAATGTGTATGATTCACCGTTGGTACATGAAAGTCAGTGTATTTGATTTCCTCTATAGGTACGATCAGTGAGTTTGATTTCCTGTATAGGTACGATCAGTGAGTTTGATTTCCTGTGTAAGTTGATTTATCGTTGGTACATGTACAATCAGTATGTTTGATTTTCTGAAGGTTCGATCAGACAGTGAATTTGATTTCCTGTATGTACGATCAGTGTGTTTGTTTCCCTGTATACGTCCGATCAGTGTGTTTGATTTAATGTAGGTACGATCAGTGTGTTTAATTTACTGTAGGTACGATCAGACAGTGTGTTTGATTCCCTGTAGGTTTGATCAGACAGTGTTTTTGATTTACTGTAGGTACGATCAGTGTGTTTGATTCCCTGCAAAGGTCCGATCAAGCAGTGTGTTCGATTTTTTTGTAGGTACATGTATGATCAGTGTGGTTGATTCCCTGTCTAGATCCATTCAACTTGTGTTTGATTTACTGTAGGTACATGTACGACCAGTGTGTTCGATTTACTTTAGGTATAAATACAATCAGTGTATTTGATTTCCTGTATAGGTACGATCAATGTTTTCGATTTACTTTAGGTATATGTACAATCGGTGTATTTGATTTCCTGTAGAAGTACGATCAATGTGTCTGATTTACTTTAGGTATATGTACAATCAGTGTATTTGATTTCCTGTATAGGTATGATCAATGTGTCTGATTTACTTTAGGTATATGTACAATCAGTGTATTTGATTTCCTGTAGAGGTACGATCAATGTGTCTGATTTACTTTAGGTACATGTACAATCAGTGTATTTGATATCTTGTATAGGTACGATCAATGTGTCTGATTTACTTTAAGTATATGTACAATCAGTGTATTTGATATCCTGTAGAGGTACGATCAATGTGTCTGATTTACTTTAGGTACATGTACAATCAGTGTATTTGATTTCCTGTAGAGGTACGATCATTGTGTCTCATTTACTTTAGGTATATGTACAATCAGTGTATTTGATTTCCTGTATAGGTATGATCAATGTGTCTGATTTACTTTAGGTATATGTACAATCAGTGTATTTGATTTTCTGTATAGGTATGATCAATGTGTCTGATTTACCTAAGGTACATGTACAATCAGTGTATTTGATTTTCTGTATAGGTACGATCAGTGTGTTCGATTTACGTTATGTACAATCAGTGTATTTGATTTTCTGTATAGGTACGATCAATGTGTTCGATTTACGTTTTGTACAATCAGTGTATTTGATATCTTGTATAGGTACGATCAATGTGTCTTATTTACGTTAGGTATATGTACAATCAGTGTATTTGATTTTCTGTATAGGTATGATCAATATGTCTGATTTACTTTAGGTACATGTACAATCAGTGTATTTGATTTCCTGTATAGGTACGATCATTGTGTCTCATTTACTTTAGGTATATGTACAATCAGTGTATTTGATTTCCTGTATAGGTACGATCAATGTGTCTAATTTACTTTAGGTATATGTACAATCAGTGTATTTGATTTCCTGTATAGGTACGATCAATGTGTCTAATTTACTTTAGGTATATGTACAATCAGTGTATTTGATTTCCTGTATAGGTATGATTAATGTTTTCGATTTACTTTAGGTATATGTACAATCAGTGTATTTGATTTCCTGTATAGGTATGATCAATGTGTCTGATTTACTTTAGGTATATGTACAATCAGTGTATTTGATTTCCTGTAGAGGTACGATCAATGTGTCTGATTTACTTTAGGTATATGTACAATCAGGGTATTTGATTTCCTGTATAGGTACGATCAATGTGTCTGATTTACTTTAGGTATATATACAATCAGTGTATTTGATTTCCTGTATAGGTATGATCAGTGTGTTCGATTTACTTTAGGTATATGTACAATCAGTGTATTTGATTTTCTGTATAGGTATGATCAATGTGTCTGATTTACCTAAGGTACATGTACAATCAGTGTATTTGATTTTCTGTATAGGTACGATCAGTGTGTTCGATTTACGTTATGTACAATCAGTGTATTTGATTTTCTGTATAGGTACGATCAATGTGTTCGATTTACGTTTTGTACAATCAGTGTATTTGATATCTTGTATAGGTACGATCAATGTGTCTTATTTACGTTAGGTATATGTACAATCAGTGTATTTGATTTTCTGTATAGGTATGATCAATATGTCTGATTTACTTTAGGTACATGTACAATCAGTGTATTTGATTTCCTGTATAGGTATGATCAATGTGTCTGATTTACTTTAGGTATATGTACAATCAGTGTATTTGATTTCCTGTAGAGGTACGATCAATGTGTCTGATTTACTTTAGGTATATGTACAATCAGTGTATTTGATTTCCTGTATAGGTATGATCAATGTGTCTGATTTACTTTAGGTATATATACAATCAGGGTATTTGATTTCCTGTATAGGTATGATCAATGTGTCTGATTTACTTTAGGTATATGTACAATCAGTGTATTTGATTTCCTGTATAGGTATGATCAGTGTGTTCGATTTACTTTAGGTATATGTACAATCAGTGTATTTGATATCTTGTATAGGTATGATCAATGTGTCTGATTTACTTTAGGTACATGTACGATCAGTTCGTTTGATTTTTTTTGTAGGTACGATGTCTTCTGAACATTTTCGGTGTGATGCTTTTCCTACGTTTGACCTGGATAACTGGTCAAGCTGGGATAGGACTGACCACTGTAATCATTTGCCTGTCTTCCTTATTAACCACTATCACTACTTTGTCCATGTCTGCCATTTGTACCAACGGAGAAGTCAAGGGAGGTAAGCTTACTTTGATACATGTGTATGCACATTATAGTATTTTGCAAAATATGCGGCATCTTTTCACTACCGACATGAAACAATCGTTCAATACCTTAACTAAGTAGTGTAAATTGTGATACATGTATTATTAAAAATTGAGTTGAAAACTATAGTTTTGTTTTGTATTGTTTGAAGGTGGAGCCTATTACATGATTTCAAGAAGTCTTGGACCAGAGTTTGGTGGCTCAATAGGAGTCGTATTTTCCTTGGCAAACGCAATAGGAGCTGCCATGTATATAGTCGGATTCGCAGAAACGGTTCAAGCGTTAATGTTTGTAAGTAGCGTGGAGGGAATTTATATGTTATCTCAGAATCACAAAAAACCTCTCTTCGATTAATTATCATATTAGTTTGTTTTCACGTAATCTAATGAGTTTATTTGAAAATCCCATTTAAAGCTCTGCTTATTAAGATATGTTTGTGAACATTACTTTAAGGATCATGGTGCACAGATAACAGGACATGCACTGAACGATGTACGTATCATTGGATCCGCCACCAGTGTCTTACTGATAGCAATTGTTATAATTGGCATGGACTGGGAGGCAAAGGTGAAGAGTCCAATATATATTTTTAATAACATTTAAGTATGTGAATGCGTTTTTGAAGCATTGATGGAAATTAATTTTTGTCTGCGTTTTAAAACTCTTTCAATTCTGCATCGATATCGTTTCAATTAATTTTTAAATTATCATTTGAAATTAAGGCATTGAAAGGCGACGACCGTTACTTTCAATTCTCGGTCACTTATGACAAAAATAATTAGAAGTAGCACTGGGTAACACATGACTGATTTTTTTTAAAATACTTGTGATACGAAAAACAGTAATCTTACGAGGGTCGTTCAATAAGTGATGGGACAAACGGTTTTTCAAAATACATGTAGAAGCAGTTATTTTATTTTTTCACACTAGAAAGGTTCTATATATTTAAGAACTCCTTTTCATTGAAAACCGTGTGTTTTTTTACTATTGTCTTCGCACAGAAATTCACTTTTAAAGTAATCATGGTCACGTCACTGAGCTTGAAATTCTTAAAAAGGTCTCGATCCAGAAGATGAAAATGAGGACTTGTGTGAAAACAACTGATCATTACAAAGGCTGAAGAACCCAAATGAAAATAGGGTTTTGATATCTGGATGGACTAGTCTTTTAAGTCTTTCAAGTAGTACTAGTTCAGGTGGAATTGGAAAGGGGGAATCAAAAGATTGCAGTCGAATTGGTCGATAGAGATCTGTTGGGATACCAAAAAATCGATGCTATGATTAACATGATATCTGAAAATGCCAGAATTACATGTACAGTGAGAGACATTTCTAAGACACTAAAAAACTCATCATCACAACAGTTGACTGAGTTCTGACGAAGGAATTAATTTAAAAAAATATTGCTACCAAGTGCATTATTTCCTTACAGATGCCCACAAGAAAATACGCTGTAAATTTGTCAACCTTCTATTGAAATATAAACATTTTAACAATAGAAGGTATGATAAACCTGCGTGGTGGATGGCGAAACATGGGTGCACTGTTTATAGCCTAAAATGGAAGGCCTATAATAAAATGCGGAATCAGAGAAAAAGCTTTCATCTTATCATTGCAAATAAGTCATAACTCCAAACAGGTCTTTTACCGGTTTTTCTTTTTATTCGAGAGGTCAAGTAAAACGTGTACCTGCACCCAAAAGAAGGTCCACCAATGGTATTTTTTATGTTAGATTTGTATTGAGAAAGATAAGCAGGTTTTCTGTAAAAGAAATTTAAATACCGGTGACCAGATTAATTTTATTTTGTAGTTGACAACGCTGCTATAAATAGGAATAGAGATGTGAGGGGAATTTTGAAGAAAGTAACTTTTACAGAGCTTAGTCATCCTCCGTATTTGTTAGGTCTCAGTCATTGTGACATTTTTTATTCCATATACTAGAGAAAACCGCTATTATTTTAGAACTGTCGTGGGGAGTGCTATCCATCAGTGTTTTGGGGGTTATAGAGACTTGAGACATTTGTAAAGGGTAGCAGGGAAAACTTTGAAGGATTAGATATATAAAGGAACTGTTTTTGTGCTTTTCTTATTTTTTCATGACTTTTTGCGTAACTTATTGAACGACCCTCACATCTTAAGAAAATTTGAAAAGTGAGTTTTGGCTGATAAAATAGGGGAAGAATACTTTTTTTTCAGGCTCAGATCGGTTTGTTGGTAATCCTCACTATTTCTATCATTAATTATTTTGTGGGAACGTTTATACCACCAGAAGAAGAAAAACAGTGGAAAGGAATCGTGGGATACAAAGGTATAGTTTTCATATATATATATATATATATATATATATATATATATATATATATATATGTATGTATGTATGTATATGTATATATATATATATATATATATATATATATATATATATATATATATATATATATATATAACTAAAGTTTACTGCAATGTGCTGGGTAATTAAGTGAAATATTGAAGTGGTTCCTCCTCCTCTGAGCCAGAATTATTTTTTAAAAGGGTACCATCATGGAGGGTTCTGGTGCATTGAATATCTGCGGGTATGCTATCGAAAGTATCATAAGAATAGTCCTAAGATATGACTTAAGAGATATCTTAGGACAAAACTTAGGATGGTCCTAAGAGAGTTCTTAAGATCGACATAGAAGCTCTCTTAGGAATGTCCTAACTAGGATAGACTTACGAGATTCTTTAGACAAATCTTACATATTGTAACATCACAGACTATGTTTATAATAATTATAGTTATATAATAAAATAAAAAAAATAATTATGGGGACTTACAATTTTTTTAATAACTTTAAAAAAAAATTAAATTAGAGAGAAGTAGCCATAGAACAATTGTCTACTTCTAAAAACGCTTTCTTATTTTAATTAATATATTAATTAAAGGGACAACTCTCTCTCTCTCTCTAAATAAATAAATAAATAATGAAGAAAATATGAAAATATACATTTTGAAAAAGTTTATAAGTTAAGTTTGTACAAATTCACATTTCAATATTAATACTTGCACAGCAAAATAGATAAATAAATTTTATATAATGAACAAACTAAGAAATAAACCCGTCGGGGATTAACTTAGCTTGGGCGAGCAATGTAGGGGACAGAGTCTAGGCAGGGAAATACTGCTTCGATTATAGTAAGATAGCTTTTGACGCGGTATAGAACCTCCTCCATTTCATATAAGGTACAGCGAGCATGGATAGCCCTTGGGGGTGACCTCTTCAAGTTACTGTGTCCCGCTAAATCCCGTGCTGGTTAGTGCTATTCTCATTCATTCGTGATCTTCGACTGAATAATAAGTAGTATAGCTTTAGGTTTTAACGCATATAAAAAACCATCAAAGCAATCTCAACTTTTTCGAAGTTTAACTTAAATACTTTTGTGACCACTAACTCCAATATTAAATCAAGTCAATTTAATTTCTTAATTGCTAAGAAGAAATATCATAATAGTACGGCCAATTACAATTGGACAATTATTTATACATAGGTAGGAACGAAGCACTCAGTGCTTTTCAAAGTTGGAGGGAAGGGGGTGGGCAGAACAACAGATTGTAACTAAAATGTACAACCGTATGATAAACGTACAAACAAAAAAAAGAAAAGGTTCCTGATTAACTCTGAGAGACACAAAAAAGGAAAACCTCTAATCTCGATATATATTCATTGGGGGGGGGGGGGGAGAGACTTTTTTGTGAAAGGTTTTGGGGAAAAAAGTAATAGGAGGATCCACCTTGCTCCCCCCCCCCCCAATACTTAATGCCTGATAAGAAATGAACGATTGCACAAAGTTTGGAGTCTCCTAAGTTCATGTTAGGACGGGTCTTGCAATGTCTTAACTTTAGGAGAAATCCTAAGATATGTCTTAAGTTAGGACAGATTCAATGGCCTCACTTAGGACTAAGATATCTCTTAAGATATGTCTTAGTCCTAAGGTGTCTTCGATAGCATGCCTGCTGGTACATTATTGAATGATTCCGACCGCTTTGTCGTTTTCTTCAGTTTTAAGATGGAATCTTATACTAGGAAAAGATTTCAGCTCCAATCGCTAAATATGCCATATTGGCTACGGAAAACTTGCTATCGATTTTCAAGGTTATATACAAAGCTTAATATGGTAGACATCACGAAACAGACAAAATACTGGGGAGGGGGGTCTTTCTTCTTCTTTTTTTTTTTTTTTTTTTTTTTTTTTTTTTTTTTTGCATTTTATTCATGTAACTGGCCTAGTAATTGTCTCACGAGAAGTGTTGATTTTCAAGGTCAAACAGTGCCGTAAGGTAAAAGGTTTAGCAAGCTTTTGATTTGTTACATGGTTGTCCAACGGTCTTTGTTACATGTATTATACAAGTATTATGTGTAAATGAACTAAAATTGTTCTTGCACGACATTTTACAATGATATAATGCCTGATATTCTTTTGTAGCTGAAGTTTTCTCAACAAACTTTGGTCCTGACTTTAAGAATGGGGAAACATTCTTCTCCGTTTTTGCCATATTTTTCCCGGCAGCTACTGGTATTTTAGCTGGGGCCAACATATCTGGGGACTTGAAAGTAACTATTCTTTTCTAATCTGAAAATAATAAAATTAGTTTAGTATAAAAATAATGAACATGGATATCCAATTTCATTTTGGCATTGATTGTCTTTACTTAATACATTTTAATTGCTTGTATGATTGTTAAAAAATAGGAATGAATAAATAATATATTATACATAACACAGGATCCTCAAAGTGCCATTCCTAAAGGGACAATTCTAGCCATCTTAATCACGACCTTTGTGTACCTTGGTATTGCGTGGACCAGCGGATCGGTCATAGTCCGTGAAGCTGTGGGGGGTCAGGTTTTGAATGCTCTTTTAGATCCCTCTACGAACACTTCCCTGGCCCCTACCTTGGAACTTGTACAGGATTGTAAGAAATTTAATATGACCTGCGAAGGAGGATTACTACCAGACAAAGGGGTACGACTTCCTTAGAGAAAATCAAGAAATCATAAACAAAATATTCTTAGGAGGTTTGATTGTTATTAAAGCCATATTTTAAAGAAAACTTGCTTTTGTCAGAAAATGCTATTAAAAGGTTATATCAATATGAAAGAGATTATTATAATATTTATCAAAGAATTCTTTTTTTCAGGCAATAGGCATAGCTTCCGCCTTTGAACCTCTCATTTTGGCAGGAATATTTTCTGCAACGTTGTCTTCGGCACTTGCTAGTATGGTTGGAGCACCAAAGGTTTTCCAGGCATGTCTAATTCTATTAAACCCTATTGTTTAAATTGAGCATATTATATCCATGAAATATTATAAAATGGTTTATGTGTACAAACCTACACTTTTTTTCCCTCAGGCATTAGGAAAAGACAGACTGTTTCCTCTTTTGCATTTCTTTGCTAAAGGGTACGGTCAAGGCGATGAACCGCGGCGGGGATACATCTTGACTTTCTTTATTTGTGTGGCCATGGTGTGTATAGGTATGTTAACTGTACAGGATAGTTATAGTTTCAGGCACATAGTATCGCTTTTGAAAGAGGCAGCCAGAAAAAAAAAATGACAAATTACCTAAAAATCTCTGACAAACTTAAAAAAAAAAAAAGAAAAGAGAAAGAGAGAGAGAGATTGTCCAAACTCAAATATCCTATTTCGTTGGGGGGTCCAACTTTTTCTACACAATACACATGTTTAATACATTTCCATGGGACGATTTGGGGGGTCCAACTTTTCCCACACAATATACATTTATTAATACATTCACATTGGACGATTTTACTACACTGCAACAAAAAGTGGGGGGGGGGAGCAATCAGTCTTTCTATGAACATTTTCAACTGTAAAACAGCCACCACCCATCCCCATAACACGTGTCTGAATTTAATATTGTTATATTTATCAGCGATCATATGAAGAACATGGCCAGTATACTTTATACGTGCTGCCGCAGTTATAATTTGCTATAGGTTTTCTTCATTAAAAATGTTAACCAATTTTTATCAGTCATAGAAGTTATCAATTAAAGAATAAAATTTGACAACATATGATAAATATATATATCGTGTCGTTGGTCATTTTTAGTGCTTTATATATATATATATATATATATATATATATATATATATATATATATATATATATATATATATTCGTTTTGATTGCAGGGGAATTGGATTTGATTGCGCCTATTATTTCAAACTTCTTCCTGATGGCTTACGTTTTGATTAACTACTCGTGTTTTGATGCTTCGTTAGCCGACTCGCCTGGATTCAGACCCAGCTTTAAATATTATAACAAATGGATAAGCTTCATTGGGGCCTTGCTTTGTTTAGCAGTAATGTTCTTGATAAACTGGTGGGCTGCCCTGATTACTTTTCTGGTTGTCGGAGCTCTTTACCTCTACGTCCGAACTAAAAAGCCAGGTAAGAATTAAAAATAATGGTAATGGACTTACAAGGTGAGACTATTTAATGTTAATTTTTTTCATTAGATGATCAGAACTGTTTTATATTCAGTATATTTCACGCTTAAAAATTACAACCGAATATAAACTATTTCCTCTGGTGAATTCTAGGCATTTTGCATGCCCCCCCCCCCCCCTTTGCTGATCAACAATATTTCCATGAATAATTTTTAGCAATTGAAAGCCAAAAGGTCGCTTTGAAAATTTTTCTGAAGATTATTGACTTGCCAGAAAATAACAGTCAATAGTTATTGTGGTGGGGGGCACTTCTGGAGGGAAAAATATAGTAATGTCGTTCATTTTTGAAATTTGCTTTTAAGGCATACATGTAAGTATGCAGTCTTTTCCCAAGTCACAATAAAATCACCTGTACTCATCAGTAAAAAAAGTCTTCATTCTGAGCCAAAATGAGAAGTGTATTGTACTTTTAGAGTAGAAAGTAATTAAGGGATATAATCATCTTTCACAACATGAGCAACAAATTGTATAAAACTCTATAAGATGATAAAAAACTTGATTGAGCTCAGTTGTAAAGGAGTCAATGTAACATCTCTCCACGTCATGCACTGGAGGATTTCAAAGAATTTTCCTTTATAAGATAGACATTACATAAAAAGCATCTTCAAAAAAATTCTTTTTATCTGGCATGTTGCTGTATTTATATTTTTTTTATGTGAAATAATAACCTGCTCATGTCGCGCCATATGAGTAGCAGTATGTAAGAATTTTATCCCTTCTGAACGAGGACATAAAAGTGAAATCTGCATGCACATCAGATGATTTTTTTATACAAACCTACCCACCCCCTCCGCTGTGGAGGTATATAGTGATATTAGTGTCCGTCCGTACGTCCTTTGGTATGTACGTAACACTTGCAATGCCCACCTTTTATCCCCAACTCCTCCTATGCAACTGAAAAGAAATTTAATGAGACTCACAGAATATTTTTACATGGTTTTATTGTGCTTCTTCTATTTTACAATTCGATCAGACAGATATTTGGAGTTTCCCATAGCAAAAAAATGGACTTATGCGAGAGGGGGCATCATTTTTTGAGCTCAGTGCTCACAGTACCTTTAATTTTTATAGGAATGTCTCCACATTGATTTTTTTTTACTTATCTAGATGTGAATTGGGGATCTTCAACACAGGCCCATGTGTATCGAGACGCACTACAAGGAACGTTACGTCTTGTAAAAGTAGAGGAACACGTGAAGAATTTCAGGTATAATATAATTATAAAGTATTAAATTACGCCATATTGTAACACGAAGTGAACTCCTAATGATCTTTTACAAAATGTGTTGACAAGCTCAGCTTAATACTATTTTAATTGCACTGAAGTTGCACACGAAATGAACGTTTTCCTGCGGATCTTAAGCTGCAGATATAAGCTGCTTTTTATTAAGTGTCAAGAACTTAATATAGATAAGGTGTAGATCCGCTCTTGTATTGTGAGTTTCAATATGCTGGTCTATGTTTCATTGTTACTGGTTACATTTGCCAAAAACTTAGATGAAATTTGTATATAATGTTTATTGATACACCATCTTCTTTAGAATTTCTTCCTTCACGACAAAAAAATGAAGGTTTTTCGATTACGATTAACTGAGGTAGTTGACCTCATTGATTAACTGAGGTAGTTGACCTCATTGATTACAAATTTCACATTTCTTTGATAATCTACCGGTAAATAAATAATTTTAAAATCTAACACAGATATTATATTTTATATTTACATCTTAAGATTGATCTATAATTGCCCTGAATATCATTTCACTTTACAGCTTCTAAATCCTTTTTTAAAACCGTTTTAGATTATGTATTTTGTTTTACATTTATTTCATCAACTCCCAAGCAAGTTTGTATGAAACATGGAAGCTGCTAAAATAAATATAGTATTAATTTTGATTGAATTCCTATCCCTTTTTAAGATAAAGTTTGCCCTAAACGTTTGATATATTTTTTAATGCATTTGATTTTTATGCAATCGAATTTATAGGGATTCGTGGTTACATTAATATGTTATGAAGGAATAGGGCATAGCAATTTCCTTAAGCTTCCATTTTATGAAAATTGATTTAATTTTTTGCTGGCGTTAATTAGGTCAAAATGGCAACTTAAAATGGCGAATGCCTTGTTAAAGACCTAGTCGAAAGCTGTGAGAGTCTGAGAGAAGTGGGATCACAACGAAAATGAACTAGATAGACTCAATATGTATACCTTTATATGATACAATATTCTCGATATCCAAAAGCTTTTTTCAGTAGTTTTAAGGGCCTCCCTAAAGTATTCCACAGTAAGTATAAAATGATGCTAGCACACACCCACACACCCACACACACATAATTATATATATATATATATATATATATATATATATATATATATATATATATATATATATATATATATATATATATATATATCTTAAGAAATGATTTTAAGTTTTTCGGTTTTTTTCCTTGATAAGTTCTTGGTTGAAGGTGTCTATATAATTTTTATGTCAGAAAAAAGCGATTTTATTTCTTTCTTCAGTCATTCTATAGATTAGGGAGATTATTGCTTCATAGCTGAATTTGGATTTTATTTTCCTTGTATATTCAAAGTTAATTAAAAAAAACATTTAAACTTATATGAAATATATTTTCAGACCACAGATTCTGGTTTTATCGGGCTATCCAAGGAACCGACCAGCTTTAATAGATTTTGCTGCAAACATTACAAAGAAACAAAGTCTCCTAATTACTGGTCACGTGTTCACTGTGAGTAGTCAAAATGATAGTTGGATAAATTTTGTAGTCTTTATCTAGTAAAATAAATGGGGTTTTCACCAATGATGTCTTTGTTAACGACGTTACAGAAGTTGTTTTCTATCTAGGGAGATATGTCAGATCATGTGAAGAATTTACGATCACATGGTGCCTATAAGTGGTTTGAAAGTAGGAAAATCAAAGCATTTTATAATGCTGTGGTAACTCCGACGCTGCGAATCGGAACTCAAGTTCTCCTACAGGTAATAGGAAAACTCATTTCCATCCAAGAAACTTAAGGCTAATGCACATTCTTGTTGCCATTAATTATATATATAGCAATTTATAAATATGATTTTATCATTTCATCAGTCCCTTTACACACAAAAAAAAAGTTCACTAAGTATTTGACCGTTTTATTCCAGGCCCTTGGCATTGGCAAACTCCGACCAAACACATTATTCTTGGGGTTTAAGTCTGATTGGCAGAAGGCCGAACCTGAGGACCTAGAAGACTACTTTAATATTATTCAGTGTGTTTAAATTATCGTCATTAAAAAGACCTTGATCAGAAAAAAAAATTAGTCAAAATTCACTTTCATTAAACATTTGGAAAACTTCGAAAAATTTGCCACAGCTTTACTTACGAGAGAATATGAATTTTGTTACTTCCTTCTTTTTAAAATCAATATCAAATCAAAGTGTACGTGCATCAAACTTTAAAATACTAGTACCCAAAACGTAATTTTGAAATGAAAAAAAAAACTTGAAACATTTTCAGGGACGCTTTTGATCTGAAATATGGTGTAGGTATATTGCGAATTCCTGACGGCTTTGATATTCATAAAATTCCTGACGAAGGTGAAGTAGACGATGATGACCCAGATCTAGCAGAGAACGTCGATAATTCTGATGATGAAGAAGGTAGATATTAAATTGTTTCTAATTGTGATATTTTCGGGGGTGTGATTGGGGTAAGCCGAATGAAAAAAAAAAGGCTATTTATGTAAAAGTTTAATATGTTTATAACAGAATTATCACGTGTTCAATCCCATTAACCCCCAAAAGTTACATTGTTTTCTTTTAAATATTTCGTCCTTCGTAGTATCTAAGGAAACTTATTTGATTTGATGAAACTGGTATTTCAGAGACTTGGGGAGATCTGTTTGTATGTCATATCTAGTAGTAGCTATTTCTTGAATGCGCACATTTACATGTGGATTAAAGTGTTCAACACTGACCTACTTTTTACAGGACTGAGCTGATTCATTTTATGTAATACATTTTCTCACCAGTAGTGCCTGTCTGTCCGTGAACCAGTGCATTCATTTTGTACAATTGAACACGAAAGGCAGAGCTAGAGTATTTGACTTTCTAGTTTCATACTAGTGATTTTATTTAAACACAAACTCACCAATATAGCTACTTTCAGTCAATCATACATCAGAGTAAATATAATCATTTGAATCTTTAAGAAAGCTCTGTCATGGTCCTTTTTTATTATTAGATGAATATGATGAGTCAACAAGCCAGCGATCTCCATCTTCACATCCCGATGAAAGGAAATCATCTGGTGGTTCTTACAAGTAAGTTATTAGTTCGCAATAAGATTTCTTATGAGTAAGTTGTTAGTTTGTTATAACATCTGCAGATCTCTTACATGTAAGTTGTTAGTTCAATATAAAATCTTGATTTAACATCTGCAGATTTCTTATGAATAAGTTGTTATTTCGATATAACATCAGCAGGCCTCATTAAAATAATTATTAGCTTGATTTTACATCTGCAGATTTCTTAAAAGTAAGTTGATAGGTTGATATAACATCTGCAGATTGCTGACAAAAGCAAAAGGTGCACTCAAGGCTATCACTGACTTTGTCCAGGTTAGCTAAAGTGAGTTTTGGCAATAGATGGTTCTTTAATATTCGTCAATAAAACTGTTATGATGACATGTTCATCAGATTGTTTTCAATGCAGTTATATAAGTGCTATGATCAATAAATTCGATCAATATTACATATACTTTAGTTAAAAAGCATGTAATATGTAGGCATTCAGCAGTCCCAAAGAATACAATGAAGAGTTATGCAAAGTGCTTAACTAGTTATAGTAAATCTACTTGTAATCTAATTAATAGTTGAAATACTTTGTTTTGTTTTTTTTAATTTTTTTAAACGTAAGGATAGTCTTATTTATTTTGAAGAATCTGATGATTCATAGTCCTGCATTTTAAGTCCAGTGAACGTTCCATAGATTATTTTATTTTAGTAAGATAATCAGGGTATTTTAGGACATCACTACAATTACTAGTCCCCACTCAATCACAAACAATTTTATATTCTTCATGAATAGGCTTGAAAATATGCATTCATTTAGAAAAAAATATTTTAATAGCCTCAAAGATAGTTCCAAAAATGCCGGTGGAATAAAACTGAAACGTTTGAACACCGTGGAGGAAGGATCTGAAAACCAGGGATACATACCTGACACTCCAAATGGCAACATGGCAGTAGACCGACCCAAACTTAGTACCCTCTTATCAACTGAATCTACAGCCCCACTGACCTCCAGATTTCAAGAGGTTCAGCATGGCACCATTGATGTTTGGTGGCTCTTTGATGATGGAGGTAGGAATTGTGTGTATGGGCTGGTTATGGTTTTTTCTTTAATTTCTTTTCACGTTGAATACAAATCTCTTTACAATAAGTTTTTAAGTATTGTAACATGTAAAAGATGTGGAAACATAATGGTTATCAATGTCATAAATCCTTTACACAAAACCAATCATGAGCAGAGCAAAAAAAAAACACGCACCCCTGGAAACACCAGACAGATGCCAAAAGGAGTAAGGGAGTAAGCATTTTTGTAAACTGGTTATGTCTTCTTGATATATCCCAGTGAACTCGAAATCAAAGACACAACTAGAGTTTGCCACATTTGTTTCATATATTGATTTCTTTTACTAATTTAGATGATGAGTCCAACTATTAACTAAACTGTATGACAAAAGGGATGACTTCAGCTTTTTCAATCGTCAACTTCCCTTATTTATTTAGTAATATTCCGGCATCACCTGCAAATGGTGTTTATGTCTTCCAACTCATTCGATACACAAGAGCATGCTCTGAGTACAATCATTTTTTAAACTGAGGCAAACAACTAACAAAAAGTTGATGTTACAATAATTTCAACAAATTCGTTTAAAGTCAGCTTTTTGCAAACTCTGTGGTATTTTTCCTTATAATGACTTGTTTGTAAATACAACCTATTGTTGTGTCGTATTTTGACTGACTTGTTTGATACCAATTACTAGATCATTACTATTATACAAAATGTGTCTCCGTATATCTGATTAATACATAGGGCTCAAGAGGGTGTGGCCAGTCAACAGGAGATGCATATCGTCATAGGCACCTGATCCCATCTCTGGTGTTTCCAGGGGTCCGTGTTTTTGCCGTCTTCACGATTCGTTTTGTTTACGTGATTTGTGAAATTGATCACGGTTCGTTACCTTCACATTTGACATTGATTAGAATGCAACTAATCTCGAGTTTGGTTTTGCTGATTGACATAAAGACATGTTATGACCATGACTCAAATTAAAACTCAATGATTATGTCACTAAGCGGTGAGGTGTGGAAATGATGCAAATTTGGACACAACTTTGAATCGTCGAAAAAATACTTAACTGTTTATATATTGTTGATTATTTTATAAATATATAGGTAAGGTTTATAATTAAAGGTGCTTGGACACAGATTTGAAGTTCATATTTTCTCAAATTTTCGAAATGATATCATGACTTATATGTTTTTATAGCATTTCACATGGAAATAAAATTAAAAAACTTATTTTATCTGGAAATTATTGAAACTACAAATTTCGGAATGCGTTTGATTCACACATCTATGCACTTTTGAACACACCCATGAAACGTAAACTGTTTTTGTAAACAGGGCACGAGATCTGTTATTGTTAATGTTTACGTTTCACCGGGTGTGTTCAATTTGTTAAATTCTGCACACATCACTGAGCACGTACTGACAATACTGGTGAGTTGGTTTTGCTTTCTCACATTTCTACTCTGAATTTTCTGTATTATAGTTTGAATATGTTTCATTAATACACAACAACATTTTTACTTTTCTTATGTATTAAGGATAAAGTTTTCTTTATGAAAGTGCTAAGATGTATCAGTCAAAGGCGTCCCGAAATTTGTAGTTTCAATAATTTCCAGAAAAAATAAGTTTTTTTATTTCATTTCCGTTTGAAATGCTATAGCAACATATAAGTCATGATATTATACCGAAAACTTGAGAAAATATTAACTTCAAATCTGTGTCCAAGCACCTTTAAGGAAGTTAGCAGTTAGCAAGATTTTAGTTCCCTTGGATCACACCTATTAGATCTGTTTACTTGGGCAAAAAAGAAGGAAATGGTCTGTATGAAAGGGACCAGAATCTTGATAACACAAAGTGGTACAATTAAAATTTTTTATTTGTATACAAATTATTATATTAAAGCTTCATTGACAATGTCACTTATTAACTGCTGTTAGTTAAGTGAAGGTAGTGTATCTTCTCTGATATCGCTATCCACAACATTGCTGGCTTATCAATACCATGAAATTTTGGTAAATTAACTTGTGATAAAGGGGTGAATTTTAAGGAATAAGCAAATATTTATGATCTTTTTATATAGTAAAACATGAGTAGAAATTTACAGTTCAGATGTTTTAATTCTGACGCAAGACTCACTAAAAAAGTGATATAGTGACGAAAAAGGCCAAATGATCGGGGAAGGGGAGACATACGTTTTTGATTTTAAAATTCAAAGAAGAAATGTAGTTCTGTTACTGACTTCATTAAGAGCTTTGATTGTAGGATTAACTTTGTTGATACCATACATCTTATCCAAAAGAAAAGTTTGGAAAAATTGCAAGCTGAGAATTTTTTGTGCTGGAACAAAGAAGGGAAATCAATACCAGGATGAAGTCAGGTATATCTGGGGCACCATTAAAAGATTTTACACTTAAGCGTAAAAGAAATATCAGTACAAAAGCAGGTATGCCTAGGATGTCATTAAAAGATTTTACATTTTAGAGTTAAAGAAATATCAGGACAGAGACAGGTATTTCTAGGGCGTCATTAAAAGATTTAATACCAGTACTGTAGTGTAAAAAAAATAGTGTGTTATTTCAAGGGCATCATTCAATGATTGTGCACTCTAGTATAAGAAAAAATATAAGGATGAAGTCAAATATCTGTAGGGCTCATTAAAATGATGTACACTATAGTTTAAAAGGATATCTTCTATTGTTGTAAGAATGTAAAATTTCCTCTGATTTATGTGTCTTTTCTCTATTTCCACTGAATTTTTAGGATGTCATCTTTGCTGGCGAAGTTTCGAATAGAATATTCTCAGCTAACTGTGATACCAGATTTATGGAAGAAGCCTTCTCTTACAATGTAAGTTAAATAAAATTACATTTGACTTACAGAAAGTATGTTTACTCCTTTCGTTTTCGCTGAATAGTAGGTGATACAGGAATAAGACTACGTGAACTATATGATATAGTTCCATCAGACAATGCTTTAACAAGTTCATCTTTGTTTGTAAGGTTCATTATTATAACTGAATTTTAGAAGAACTTGATTTGAATTCTACGTCAAAGTTAACTTTCTAAGGATGCAATGCCGTGTCCAGCAAATGCTCTACTTAGCCCCTATCTTTACACCTCACATATTAACTACTTTAAAGGAGAAACTTCAGACGTACTGTGCTACAGTATATTCTAGAAGTAGTGTAGATCAGATGTGGATTCTCAAAACTTCCCAAAAACTTTAAAGAAAATTTAAAAACACCGTTTTTTTTCCAAAAGTCAGGAACATCAAAACGTACCACTTTTTTTTATATTATACAACCATTCCTAACGATATATTAAAAACTAAGCTTTTGATATCATAGACAACTGCTTCAATAAAAATGAAACTCAGAAATTCTTGATAATGTGATTGGTCATCAACAAAATTATTTTGTTAAAAATCACTCTGACTCTACACACAAGTACTCTGAAGTTGATATCAAAAGAATGCTGGTATTCTTCATTAACGACATTTATGTAGTCTTTGGAGACCAGATCTTCCAACAATTGTGTTTTATGACATATTGTACTCCTTTACCAGCCGATATGTTCTTATATTCATATGAAGCAGAATTTTGTTTCAAGAACTTCTACACGAGAAGAAGTAAAACACTTGCTGTGATCTTCATTCAACTCGATATTCAGATATAAATCGACGATATTTTAGTTACGGCCATTCATATGTAGACTCGTTTTAACCTAGGGAGACACTTCAGAGTCTACCACATCTGTTTCATATTTAGATGTTTTACAATAATGACGATAATGACCAACTAACAATTTAATTGTATGATAAACGAGATGACTTCAGCTTCCCTTATTTATGTAGTGATATTCCAGTATCACCTGCATATAGTGTTAATAAAAATCCTTGTTTATTCATTTGTGTGCAATTCATTCACAGAAAATGCATGTTTGTATTTATATTTTTATTTTTTTCTTCTGCAGGTACAAGGAATTTGAAAGTATAATTCATCAGCAGCGAATCAGGCCTCACGAATCCCCTGATGATTATCCATGGAAAATTTCAGATGGTGACCTTCTTGCAAATAAACAAAAGGTATTACTATTATTACTAACTATTTTTTTTGATAGGTATTAAAGGTACTGAAGAGCTAAGTTAAAGGTTTTTAGATATTTTGTGTGAATTTTAGTTTTTCCTTTGAAGCTTACTTTAAATTTGTTCTTTAACTAGACTGGTCATAATCGATTACGACCAGTAGAGTTTATGCAGTGGTAAAAAAGACCATCTTCAAAATACTTGTTCCTTCCTTTTTTTCTTTTATTCATATCGGTAAACTTCATTAGGTTACGTAATTCTGTACAGCTGTTTGTTTTTTTTTATTTCAAAACAAATTTCGTACACAAGTAGACTTCTGTGAGATATTATTCTGTTTAACGTTTTTTTTTTTTAATTTCAATAACTGTGTTTTAGTAGTGACTGAAAATTAATTAAACTGCAAAAGCTTTAAAGATACATTTGACACATTGGTTTGATATATATAAAGCTTAATTCACTGACATGAAGATACCAGTATATCAAGTATGCCTTTTTTTCATTTAGAAGGGGGCTGAAATTGTTACTGAAATAAATTCTGTTCTTTTTTTTTTTTTTGAAATGCAAGCCCCTGCCCCCTGAGATTTTAGTTAACTTTTAATTGAACCTGATACATAGATTAGACTACAGCAAGGTTTTCTTCAGATTACGAATTTCAATATCTGATTTCAATATGTAATTATGTTTCGTAAAAATAGAATAATCGTGTAAATTCTTCTTTCATAATAATAATAATGAATAAATATATACTTAAACAATATACCTTATTTCTTACAATAATGTTGGTTCAATAAAGAGGGTTACAACTGTTACTGAAAAATTTAAAAATCTCTTAATTAAATCATTTCAAAAGACCACTTCTTCAGTATATAATATTCATTATATATTTTGTGTTATATAAAAATGCAAGTGTTACATGTATTTTCATATATATATTTTCACTTTGGAATGAGTCAAGTATAAATGAAAATAATATCATTTTTCATCTTGCTGAACAAATTTGATGTTTATGAACAATAAATATCCGATTACCTTAAGTTGAGTGACCCTACCACTTTTTTCTTTTGCTAATGAATCATAATACACAATTACCCATTTGTTTTAATTAAAATTACTGCGTACATCTTTAAGTATTTCCTTTGGTAGATCTACAGAAATATCAAATTAAAGGAACAGCTACTAATACATTCTCCAGAGGCGTCACTTATAGTCATGTGAGCATTACTTTCTCTTTCTCTACTTCACACTGATGCGAGAATTTTACCTTTATTATAAAAATAAATAATAATTCTAACTATTAATTTTTTCTTGTTAAAAATTTTAATTTTTTCCCATTTAGGACGCTTCCTGTTCCAAAACGAGAGGCGTGTCCAGCCACGCTATACATGGGTTGGTTAGAGATGTTATCACATGGGTTACCTCCAATGCTCTTTTTGAGAGGAAATCAAGAAAATGTGCTCACATATTACTCATAAGTTGAAATTCAATGTAAAAAGTTAGTAATAAGACCTTCCTTGTGGTAAGAAGTCGGATGTTTACAAGTATCTCATTATGCTTATATATATATATATATACATATACCTGCTGCTTCACAAAAAGATGTTGTTGTCTGATTATTTAATTCTGCATATAACCGCCCGAATAAACTGATGACAACAGTCTTAGTACAAAATTACAAAGGCTTACATCTTAACCAATAAAAACAACAAAATCGGCTCTTCCTTTATTCCTTTATTCTTTCATAATCTGACATGAAATGTTACATTTAATATGTGCATTTATGGTTTCATTTTATTTCTTGTTTGCTTCGGTTAAAAAACAGTAATATATATTAAACAATATAAATAACAAGTCGTATACCATGGATGATAATTTTTCTATCTTGAGCTATGCCAGACTTTCTTCTGTATCTTTTGCATTTATAAGCATATCAACTACATGAACCACTTTTGGTGCTACTTTGGACTACTTTCTTTCTTCCTCTGAGGTTTATGAATTTTTAGTTGTTGTGCCATTATTTTGTGTCTCCAGTTTACCCTGAAAATGTGCATATAAATATTGTACTGGTAATTTGTAAATTTTCTCATTATATTCTGAATGCGTGTATATATTTACACACCTGATTTCTTTTTTTATTCTGACACTTTCTTTCTATTCATTTGTCGTCTGTGATAATTGTGAACAATTACAAATTCTAAAAACGCCAGAGTGATTATGATAAAGCATCCAGCATTCCATGCCTCCACAGCAGCCATGTGAACCTGGTTAATTATAAGAGTACCAACACTTTCTGCAATAATGGCAGTTAAAGAAATCGTGGAGATTCGAATTCTTTCTGATACTTCTGTATGATGAGCCCAAAATCCCAACCCTATGATGAAGACAATGCAGGTAAATAAATCTGAATAAACGTGGCCGATATTTTCTCTGCGCGTGTAAAAGCAGATGGAGACATGGCATTGATTCCCCTGCAAAACAAAATGCGTAAGATTTCGTATGATTTTTTGAAATCTTAATAGTTACCAAGTATTTGCCAAAATGATAGCGTGGCTAACAACAAATGATGTACAGCTGTGTGTTATCTTCAGTTACACTATGATTACATGAAATGTGCTAGCTTAAGGTTTGTCTTATTGAATTTTAATGGCCAAGTAGTATAGCTTGCTAGAGGAGATGTACAGTTTCCATTCAACAGATATACCTTGAGAAAATGACTTTGTTCCCCTTCTCTGAGACTTACCTGTATATATTTCTATGGTTCTTGAATATGGAACTTCAAGTTTTCGGACGAATACGAAGCTAAAGGTAGCCTTATCTTCAGAATTTGAATTAAATGTATATATTTCAAATAAGTGCAGCGAGAATTGTACCAAATTAATTTCCTGCACTGTCAAACATCCCTCCCCTTGAAAATCACGATTAAAAGAAGGCACATATTAACAGTGTGCAGAATATATCGTTCCTCAAAAGCAAATCAATTTCATTCATCTCCAATTGATGGACATACTATATAATACAAATAATATTTTTTTAAATCATCTGAGCCGTAGCACTGTTAAAGTACAAGGTGCATGTTTCGTCTTTTATTGGCAACTTTACATCCCAATGAAATATTATGGAGTGCCTGTTAAATAACATATACACTTGTCAAAAGTCTTAAGGTGTACAAAATAAAATTTACTGCACTGTACTACCTTACTTATATTGAATTTAGCTATACACAGTTATGATTTTGCTACTCACATATCATTTTTATTGCTTTCTATCAAGTGTAAGCAATGCATTTTACAAGTTTGACAAAGTATTACAATCAAACCATATATTTCACCTCTTAAATCTTGAAATGGAGGTCCATAAGTAACTGTCTTAAATCAAACGGTCCCAATCTATTTGACTTTGTATTATGCAATGTTTATAATGCACAACTCATGACACAAACCAAGGCGTTGAAAAAAATGTAAGCACTTGTGAATCTTGTTAAAGTATAAAGAATACACATGCTGTCATTAATAGTTTGTTCAAAAGAGTTCGTCACAATAGCGTTTTGTCCAAGTCAATGGTCCTAGATATACTTATTGTTTACCAGGATATTAATTACAATAATCCAAATTAAATAACTTGTACCTTTCTTTTAATTCTTAAATGATATTTGTGCTTACATGGATAAATTTACAATGTGTACATATTTTCATTTCTACTTCCATATAATTTTACACTAGTTTACATACTTTCTTTTTATAAAATATATATTGCATTTACATAAATCATTCTAAAACTAAATTAAGTAAATAAAATATACATATATAACATTGCAGACTTTAATATGACTCTTTGCTGCTTAATATTTAATATAATAATATTTAATGATTAATATACAGGAAAATAAATAGTGCGGGGATGTGTGAAAAGGGGAATTTTGGAGAACAGTATTGAATAATTCACGCTTGTGCATTTGTCTATTAGTTGATAAATATTCTGTAAGATAACATTGTATTACAACATATCACAAATAGTTTTCCAATGCCTTCTTCCATACACATCTTTTACATGGAAACATTCAAATAATAGAAAATCTTTTTTTTTTTTTTTTTTTTTTTTTTTGTAAAAACCGCAGTCTTTAAAGATTGCAGGTAGTGCTAAAGTGTTGTTATGAGATTTGTTACAAGATTTCAGGACTGGAATGATTAATATTTATTCTACAAGCGTATATGTTTGTAGAAATCCTGTTAATTAAAGGTTTGTATATACAACGTAGCTTGACTTCAGGTTTCGGGCGAATTACCTTAATGAGTAAGTAATACATTACATTACCATTACCTCTAGATTTGGGCAGTACCGGTAAATTACCTTTGCCTTACAATTATGCGCAACTTTACCATTTCTTTAGATAAGTACTGCATTACCATTCTTTTGGGTTTTTCAGAAAAAGAAATACAAGTACAAAAGAGCAAGAGCCACTTAGAGCCTTTTTTGTCCCTGAGAATTTCTAAAAAAATCGAAACTGCTCAGTTTTGGTTGAAAATGCATTATTTATAACTTGGACCCTTTGTGACCGTGTATCTATTGAAAATGACGTTATTTTCTCTCTAGTCAATACATTATGACGTCATAAAATGCGTCATCTTTCCCATATCCTGTAAATTCCCTTAAAAAAAGGTAGTCAAACAAGCATGTTTTCTGCAAAATTCAAGAACATTGCATTTTCTCAAAGCCTGTTTTCCAATACCTGGATTCTCAAAAAGAAATTGTGTTATAGGAAATGAAAGCACTAAGTCTCCACTTTATTTTGATATATGACAGGGTTCTCCACAAGGGGTTTTACCATGGCGGCCCGCCATGGTTAAATTTATGTGCGCCATGGTTAAACGAGCTGCGCCATGGTTAAAATGGACGGCCGCCATGGTTAAATTTTTATTGCATTTTAGTATTTACATCTACTTTTTAATGACTTGAGTAGTTAATTGTGTTTATACTACGACTGCAATGCATCTGGCACGCCTCGAGGGAAAGCGGACTGTGCAAACAAACACGGTCGCTGATCGGCACTATGCTGGGAAGCGTGACAATGGAGGGTCAATCAGCTGAAGATCAATATCTGGAGAATTAATTATCCTGTAGTAAACAAACATGTAATTTCGGGAAATTCCAACGTGTTCACTATTTGATAAAAGATCATAACGAGCAGTAGGTATGCCCAGAAAAAATGAGCCCTTTCAAAATTTCCTATTCTTTGTATTTAATCAATTCCTCATGCTTTGTTTTAAAGTATTAACTTTATTATCTTTCTGATAAAATGTACGTAAGTGCCAATCGTCGTCTTAGTTTTAGAGTTACCTCCCGTTTTTATGAAACTTCGCGTGGCGCTCTTCTTAGCACGGGCACGTGGAGGAATAAACAATGGAGGAAACTCAGCGAAAATGCAATATATAGAAAAAAAAACGTTTAGAGAAAGACAGAATAGAGAAAGCAAAATTACATTAATGCAAATTAATGCCCCCGGTTATACTGAGTTACTTTTACCATGTATGCCACCAGTAAGTTTTCATAGATCATGCAGTTAAAAAAAGCTTAGGCATTAGTAGGATGTCGGCTTTCGTTTGTTTGTGTGTCTGTTAACTTTTTTTAAAAGTACTACCAATTCATCAGTTTTTGTCATATTTAAATAAAACTTTTGATATAACAGGCAACATCAATTCTGTATATCAGTTTTTGAAAACTGTTGCCATGGTTACTCAATCAAAACGTTATTTTGAAATTCCTTCAAAATGTTCCTACAGTTTTGGACCAATTTTGGTACATTTGTAGAGTAATTAAGATACATAATCCTTTTTGTTTTTAATTTTTTAGCTTAAAAAATTATTGGTTATTTCAACTTTTTGTGCTGCAGTGGTTAAGTTTTGTGAATTAACCAATTGATTAATGCAGGTTAGGAAGTCTAACATGCATTCGTGTTTTTGGTCGCATTGCGCCTTCGCGTAGCTTCCTCCATGGTTAAATTTTCAAATGTGGAGAACCCTGATATGAAATGGGACAGAGGGTGATAACCAATTAATTGACATAAGGACAGGGCCATTTATGCAGAAAGTGAACCTAGCTCTTTGTGCAACTTTTTCACAACCAACCCCGTTTTCCAAACTAATTAATGTGATGGATGTTTATTCAATTTTAATTATTAAACACTGGTATCTTTTGCGCTTAGATATCTTTATTCATTAGAAGAAACTATTCAATTAGATATGATTATATACAATATGTACTTTTGTATAACTATTCATGTCAGAGAAACTTTTTGGGCATATTGTCCTGAAGTATGTATTTTGTATGTATTTATCAGATATTAATTATTTTTATCCAGTACGCACTGACCCACAGTTTTCTCTACGGTTTTGAGTCATGCTATATGAGTAGTTGTCTAAAATATACGTTTCAAAAAAAAATCCTTGATATAACTCATGTCAAAAGTGACATACCTGAAATAATTTTAAGTAAGGCACAAGCTACATTCGTTCACCAAGCATAGATTTGTTTGTAAACAGGCGTTAACAACAACACACACCAGTAAACTACAGGTGGCATGTTCATGAAGGTATCCAAAGATTACTCTTCAAATGTATCTTAAAGTCATAGCTTAAGACCACTCTAAGACGCATCGAAGGATTTAAAACGAAGCCATCTCAGACGTATCGTAAGTTTCGATGTCTTAAATTAGCTTATTTCCTTTTTTAAAAATAAAGTTTAAAAAAAAAAAATTAATCTTTCCCTATTTATGTAGTAATATTCCGCTATCACCCGCATATGATGTTTACGTTTCCCAACTTATTTGATACTCAAGAGCATGCTCTGTGTATGTTTAAGCAAGCTACTGACAGATTAGTTGATGTTACAGAGATTTCAAAAACCGTTTAAAGTCAGCTTTTCGAAAATTTATGGTCGTTATAATGACCTTGTTAGCAAATATAACCTATCATGTGTCGTAATTTGGCTGACGTGTTTCAGTCGTATACCCTTTCATAGTATTCATTGCTGAAGTGAAGCGGGACTATGTTATTGCAACTATAAAGATAAGCGGGCTTAAATATTACAATTTGACAAGATATTTCAAACAAAATATAACATTTGCCTATGTCTGTATGTGTAAAGTCTGTCCAGCTGTGGTCAGCCCATCATATCGTCGACATTTAAACTATAAATGTTCCATGCACATGATTCCTGCAGATCACACTCCAAATACGCCCATCCTTGACTACGGAATGCTTCGTCTACCTGTCAATACATAGGACTCACGGCGGATGTGACCGGTCAACACGGAGTGCTTACTCCTCCGAGGCACCCTATCCTACTGTACCTTTGGAATTCCCGGGGGTCCGTGTTTTATGTCTTTCTCACAAATTCGTATTGTTCGTAGATTTTTTTTTAGATCGATCACTGTTCGTTATCTTCACCTTTTCATTTTCAATCTAAAATGAAACATTAAAGCTTTTAACAAATATTTTAAGTAAATAGAAAAATAGTCAAATTTATAAAAAATTAAATAGTTAAATACATTAAAATTAAACATAGCATTGTGAATATTCATTTAAATGCATACTATATGTGCATGTCTTGTGTTTATGTATAATTGAGAACAATTTCATTCGCTTTTTCATATCGATTATTGTTGATTTTACTCGCACCGATTTAGAATTATCCGCGTATTCAGTACTTTCTTTATTGTAAGCCATGACCACATTTACTAGGAAACGAACTCCCAAATGAAAACAGTGGTTTGGCCTCCATTTTTGCACTGCATTGGTATTAAGAATTCCTACAGATACGTATTGATGTATTTGGAGAAGATGGCATTTGAAATATAGTTTCAAGCAAGCGCAAACTATTTCAATAATCAAAGAATGTAAATTATTAGAACTTGATTTATAATTTTTTAATTCGGTATTTTAATGATTTATTTTGAATTTTGGAATATTGAATAAAAATAACACCTTCATTTAAGTGGAAAGATGTATTTAAACACCAGTATTATTATTTCTTTTCTGAATTTTAATAGTTGTTCGAGGAGAGAAAAAAATACATTGTTGCCTCTTTCATTTTAAATGTAGTCATTGATTTTTTTTTCTTAGTAACACAATAATGCTGTTTGCTTATGAAACGGGGATGCTTCAGTTAATTGAATGCACGAGTGCTACTAGAGTGTGATGTGATCATATTTTATATATGCATGATTCCAGCTGTGTATGAAGGAATTTCAATTTAATCAAAGCTTAATTTTCACACGAAAAAGAATTCACTAAAGATGATTCTTAATTGAATGATTTGACAGTATCACGGTAGGCGTTGGCACGATAAAGATCCCTCTAAGCTACTGCTGTAGGCTCCATGCATTGGTCAAAATTTGTTACACTTCACCGAAATGTATAGTAAATGTCTCTATATGGGTGAAAATTGTCGAAAGGGATGTTAACAAAATATAATCAATCATTTTTTTTTTTACCTTTTGTATACCCGATTTATTATGTATTGGAATTCTGGGGCTGATGGACAGGTTTGTCCTTACGATATTTCCTTTACTGTATCATTAAACTAATGATGTTGTAGACCTATTTTATGGTCGATACAATGACCTTATCAGCAAATACATTCTATCATTAAGTGAATGCTGACTGACGTTTTTCACACTAATTGATAGGCCATTTCTTCAAAACTGAATTGTCTACGGATTTTTACGTTTGCCCGATCATGACAATGAGCACATGGCGTTCGTGACCGGTCGACAGGGGATGCTTACTCCTCCATGGCAACTGATCCCAGCTCTGATGTTTTGTAGAGGTCCGTGCTTGCTCTGCTCCCGATTTGTATTGTTTTATTGAACTTTTGAGCTTGATTACTGTTTGATATCTCCATATTTCATATCAGCGTTGGAAATCATTACTCACTGTTCTTACTTCAATCAGTTTAAGTCATAATCTGTATGAAGTTGCCAAACAATATATAGTGGGTTAAATTTTCTCTCCACTCACAAGTTAGTAACGATTGGCAAAACTATTCAGGTACAAGAGGGATATCTACAACTGTTTTCGGGTTGTTTTGGTTTTTAAAATACATAGTACATGTATACTTGTAAGAATATTTGAGGAACAATGGGTTAGTTTTATTTTTTTATGACTGTCTTGAAATGCGCAGAATTCAATACTCTCACATCGTTACATTTATTGTATACTACAAAATAATGCATCGAACTGTAGTTATCTGACAGTCCATCCTTTTCTCGTCAAATGATCTACAGATGGAAGGTTTCTTTGTGTTTAGAATGTTTCATTAGATTAAATCAAATAAAATATCATTTCAGTTGTAAAAATATGATTGCTTTTGTCAAAAACAGGAGAGTAACAAAATGTTAGCTGTATCAGTGATAAATGTTGTCTCCTGGAATTTCAGAGATATAAGATACTTGAGAAGGTTTCTTTATACATTTGTATATACCAAAAATTCAATAAATTCGTACAAAAATTTACAAATAGGTATATAGTTCAGTCTTTTTATACATTGAATAAGTTTGAAAATGCATTTGTCAAATTTTTTTCATAGGGTTTTCTCATCGATATAAGATTTTGCATATGCCAGTTAAATTTAAGATGGATATCACATTTTACAAGAAGACGTCACCTCGATTCAGCACATTCGGTATTTTGATTTTTTACATCTATCTGCATTTCCTTTGGTAGATCCACCAAAAAATCGATCAAAGGAACAGCTACTTATTCATTCTCCAGAGGAACCACTTATAGTCATGTGAGCATAACTTTCTAATACTCTACTATACATTGATAAAAGGAATTTCACCTTTATATTAAAAATAATCAGAATACTGTTTTCTTTACTTCTTTTAAATTATGTGTCTTTTACTCTTCCTTTAGGACGCTTGCAGTTCCAAAAACAAGAGGATTGTTTAGCGACGCTACACCTGGGTTTATTAGAGATGTTATCACATGGTCTACAATCAATGCTCTTTTTGAAAGGAAGTCAAGAAATTGTGTTCACTTACTACTCATAATTTAAAATCCATGTAGAAATAAAGAGATAAAACCTGCATTGTGTTAAGAAATAAAATTTTATAAGTCATTGGATAAAAAAAATCTTTTACTTGCTGCTACACAAAAAATGTTATAAAATCAAATCCGCATGAATACAACTGATGATGACAACTGCTTTAGTACAAAGGATGACAACTTCTTTAACATAATCTGATATGAAGCGTCTGTTTATTTTGATGTGAAGGACAGATGATACGTCCTCATTGATGTATATAATTTTCCCAAAGAATTCGTGTTTGAAATATTGCTACTTTAACAAGTTTCCTCACAAAAAATGAGGTACATTACCAGACATTTGTCAAAGGGATGTTAATTATTATATAAATCTTTTGGAAATCACTCGAATTGCTGATATAAAAATATTGGGTTTATATATGTTTTCAGATATAAGAAAACAGTTAGAAATCAGAAGATAAATAAAATTATTATCAATATTTTTGTATATTACGAAATACAAAAACTTTTATTCGAGAAATTTATCGTCAGACCTTAACCTATATTTTTGATTGAATGTGTGTCTTCTTTGTTTCATTTTATTTCTTGTCTGCTTCGGTTAAAAAGAAAGCCCAGTAATAAATATTGAACAATATAAATAGCAGAGCGTAGAGCAGGCAGGATATTCTGTCTATTGTTTCTGGAGCTAGGCCAGACTTTTTTTCTTTTGTATCTTCTGCATTGATAGGTATATCAATCACATGAATCACTTCTGGTGCTACTTTGGACTTTGAGATTTTTTTTCTTTTGTTGATGCTTGTGACTTTTGAGTTGTTTTGGATACTATTTTGTGTCTCCAATTTACCCTGAAAATACGCAAATAAATATATAAGTTACTTGTTATAAAATTTCAACACACATATTCTGAATCTGTATATATTTACACACCTGGATTCCTTCGTCTTCTGTCGAATTCTTTTTATTCATTTGTCGTCTGTGATAATTGTGAACAATTACAAATTCTAAAAACGCAAGAGTGATTATGATAAAGCATCCAGCATTCCATGCCTCTACTGCAGCCATATGAACCTGGTCTGGATTCATTATAAGAGTCCCAACACTATCTGCAATAATGGCAGTCAATGAAATCGTGGAGATACGAGTTCTTCCTGATACTTCTGTATGATGAATCCAAAACCCCAACCATGTGATGAACACAATGCATGTACTAGGTAAATATACCTGAACAAACATAGTCTGATATTTTCTCTGAACATATAATATCAAATGGAGACATGGCATTGATTCCCCTGCAAAACAGAAAGGACACTAAATTATATATATTGTCAGATTTTGAAACTGGAAATTTTTGCCATAATGATTGTCATGATAACACAAAATAATATACATTGTATATGCATTGATTTCAGTTACACAATTATCACAAACACGAGACATTATATATTTTTCCTAACACAAAAAAATGATAACCCTTAATCAATAAGGTAGGGATTATATTTGTTTGATAAGGAACAAAATCTATAACGTTAAGTGATTGTGACAGAGGTTTTCATGAAAGGTGTTTGCTTCAGGGTTGTCTTCTTTAATTCTAATTGTTGCAAACTAGTGTAGACGTAAACTCGTTTCAATACAATTGTATTTCAATGAATAAATTATACCTTGCGAACATAACTTGGTTTCCGTTCTCTTAATAGTGACTGCGTAAGTTTTCATGGTTTTTGAATACGTAACAGGTGTTACCAGCTTCCAGAGAAACTTCAGATTTTCGGACGAATACGAAGCTAAAAATAAACTCATCTTCAGATTGTATCGCCCTGTACATATTGTAGGTGTAAATTGTCACCGACGGCTATGTGAGCAGAACGACAAAGAATTCTATCTGTGCATTTACAAAGAAGTGCACGAAGAATTTCATCAAAATATTTATTAAATATTTACTTAGTATTCCTCTGTAAATAACGATAAAAGCTCTGTACTAGCAGAGTTCATAATTAAAAAATCTTTCTCTATTTAAATCTGTTTCATTTCATTTTTTTTAATCTCAAAGTGAATTTTCAAAATTTTACAAAATTTATCCAAGCTATACCACTCTTAAAGTACAAGGAGCATGTTTCGTCTTTGATTGGTAGGGCAAACAACTTCACGTCACAATGAAATACAATGGAGTGTCTGTAAAGTAAAAAGAGACGTCTGGAATACAAACTACATATACAAACAATTGCACTGCACTACATTGTTCAAATCGAATTTTTACACACAATTCATAAATCAATCATGAAAATTGACGATAAGATATTTATTGCTTATTACCAAGGGTTACCAAATCAATCTTCCAAGTTTGACATTGTGTAACAATTAAACCATATATTTCACTTCTTTAAATCTTGAAACGGTAGACCATAAATTTAAATGTCTTAAATGAAACAATCGCACTTATTTGTTTTTGCATTATGTAATGTTTACAAAGCACAGCTCATGACGCAAAACAAGGAGCATAAAATATTGAAAGAACTTGTTAATTAGTTCTACTAGAGAATCTTGTTTAGAAAGAACACTTAGAGAGTCGGAGATCTATAGACAGATACCACGTAAAGTAGTCACAACGCCCAAATTTATATTTTAATTTTAAAAAAAAAAATGTGGGAAGACAGAAAACAGGCATTTCAATACTAACTGTTGACTATTTCTTAATTTACACATATAGATGACAAAAGTAAATGAAATGTTATTTTCTTAATTTACAGCATGTCTATACGCTTTTTCGGTGAAACTGGCAAAGATGTGAAAAAATTACGGATTTAGTTTTACATGTAAAATCATGAGTCCATAAGCCAAAAAACTCATCGGAGTCGCACTTATGATCTTAAAAATGAATATGTAAACGAAAGAAATTCGACTTGTCCTAGTTTAAAATATTTTGTAGCATATTAATATGCCTTATAAAATTAAATATATGTTATTCCTATGGGAGTATGTCTATTCTATTGTAAAACCTTTTACCCTTTGTAATTTACAAAAAAATTAATCTACATTTTATGGAGAGAAACAAATAAAAATGAAAAGACAGTTGTTTCCACTACGGATATTTTCTATATTCAAATCTTAAATGAAATAAAATTCTATCCTGAAAATCTTCTATGAAAAATGTCTGGTCCGTCTGGTGTACTCCGGACTTGCTTTATACCACCCCTTCCAGAGTGTTGAGGCTATACGGTTTACATGAATTGGCTAAAGCAAGGTTTTACCAGAATATTTTTTAAAAAAAATCAAAAAATTCTTTTAATAATTTTGCAAAGTACTATGCATACGCAATCTCATTCATAAGTGTGTAATTCATAGCCCCTTGAAATCAGTAGGGTATCACATAAAGAATACCAAATTTAAAAAAATTATTGATATCTAAAATATAAAATTTGAAATAAAATAAAACATTCAATAATTAAAACTCAATGTTTTATAAATAGAGGATATTCAATGTTTTGTAGCTGGATATGGAATTTATTTCACGAGTGGGACAGCATTTTTTTTAATATATATTTTTTCAGGAGTGCGAAGCACGAGGGAAAATATAAAAAAAAAATCCTGTCTAACGAGTGAACTAAATTCCATATTCAACTACAAAACATTGATTTTTCTGTTAATAACATTTTTCCTTTGCCCCTGTCTTCTTAACACAGTGTCAAAGGCTGCGACGTCATAGTTGAGCGGTTGAGACGTCGGTTTAGCAACATATTTGGTAAGAAAATGGCAGTTTTAGTCTCTATCAAGATGGTTTAGTTACTATCTCTATCTTATGACTAGCTGCAGAACTGTAGCATTATGGTTTTATATAATATTCTTTGACCATAACGCTAAAGATCCCCTAATGCACATATAGTGCAATTTACGACGCAAGATTTTCTGCGCACGGCTGAGGAGAATTTCTCCACTTTCCAGCATTGGTCAAATAACTACCTTTCACTCCCTAAATTTAGACACATCCTTTAACCAAACTGTATATTTTATCTATCTCCTGACCCTTTACAGCCGTTTCTACAAACATTCAAAACAAACTAGTTTATTGGTCTGTAGAAATGACTTCAAGTAAAATTGAAGAAAGGCATCAAAGCGGCCGCAAACAAAATTTACCCACCTAAATAAATAAATTAATAAATTAAGAGAAATTTAAGTGCATTTGTTAATCCAATTGATTCATCGATGTTATAAAGTCAGTGATAAATGGTAGGAATTTATTGTCATCAAAACGAAGATGATGGCCTATCAATATTACTATTTACATAGTATATTCAGATCTCAAGATGAACCACGTGCTTATCTACCCTGGAGCTTTGTCACGTGATGATGCCCATGATTTCTGCAGAGTATGCTATGCTGCATGGCGCGGTGCAAAATATAGAGAAAAAAATTATCCTTGTGCCATTCGCAGCTAGAGAAAATTCAAAACAATTTTACTAGTTGAACAACTTTTCAATATTTATTCATCATGTACTTTTACCACTTATTTATTATCCTGAAAATCATAACGATTTGCGTTCATATCTTACACACTCCCGGGTTAGGGAGTATCTGTTGTAAACTCTTTTTATATAATCAAGAATTAATAATTATCTGATGAAAAATGAAATCAAAACAAAACAAGCATTCTGAGAGTATTGCATTAGCAATACTAGTCCCCTACCGGCAAGTGTAATCTGGTTCCCGTTAAGAATTGAAAATGCCATAATTCCGTCAAAAATCAATGAAGCGGGGCGAAATGCAAACTTGATCTATAACTAATCAAGGTAAAGTCACATACCAAAATTCAGCTCAACATCTGAAAGCATTTAGAAGAAAATTGTGGAAAACCCTTAAAAATTGAAAAGGCCGTAATTCCGTCAAAAATCAATGAAGAAGAACGAAATGCAAACTTGATCTGTAACTCACCAAGGTACACTCACATACCAAAAATCAGCTCAATATCTGCAAGCGTTTAGGAAAAAAGTGCGGAAAACCAAGTGGGACAGACTGACAGACAGACAGACAGACAGACAGACAGACGGACAGACAGACGGACGGACAGACTCAGAGGAAACCTATAGTCCCCTCCGGTTTCACCGGTAGGGGACTAATAACAACAATTAATACTTAGTTTGAAGGAACTTTTTAAAGATATTTTCTCATAATTTTAGAGATGTTATGATTAAGGAATTATTTTACTGAACTATTTAAGAATTAAAGTCTCATTTCCCATGTGCACTTTCTAACACAACCACAATAGATCGGCCACTGCAAGGTGTTAGGAGGTGGGTAAAATATAGGTTGGTTAAGGAATATGTCTGGAATTAGGGAAATGAAGGTAGTTGATTGACCAATGCTGGAAAATGAAGAAATTCTCCACAACCGTGCACAGAAAATCTTCCGCCGTAAATAGCACAATATATAAGGCGTTATGGACAAGATTAAAATATAAAATCATAACGCTGTACTTCTGCAGCTATCTTATATGACAGGCCAGAAATTATTTTCACTTACTTTGATATCCTTTCACATTGTGACAGAATATCACTTTTACTCAATAAATAAAATTCAATAAATAAATCACAGTATTTCACTGTTGAAATGTAATACAAGGTGTTATATTTAGCTTTTTATTTCAATACACAGGACTGATAACTTATCATGAAATGTTATATTTCACTATCTAGACAGTCTGAGTCATTGTTTCGTATTAGTCCCCTACCGGTGAAACCGGAGGGGACTATAGGTTTCCTCTGAGTCTGTCCGTCCGTCTGTCTGTCTGTCCCTCTGTCTCTCTGTCAGTCTGTCCCACTTGGTTTTCCGCACTTTTTTCCTAAACCCTTGCAGATATTGAGCTGATTTTTGGTATGTGAGTGTATCTTGATGAGTTACAGATCAAGTTTGCATTTCGTTCCGCTTCATTGACTTTTGACGGAATTACGGCCTTTTCAATTTTTAAGGGTTTTCCACAATTTTCTTCTAAAAGCTTTCAGATATTGAACTGATCTTTCGTTTGTGACTTTACCTTGATTAGTTATAGATCAAGTTTGCATTTCGTCCCGCTTCATTGATTTTTGACGGAATTATGGCATTTTCAATTCTTAACGGGAACCAGATTACACTTGCCGGTAGGGGACTAGTATTGCTAATGCAATACTCTCAGAATGCTTGTTTATATTTGTTGTTCCTTTTTATAATTATTAGTCAACCTGCGACGTCAGTCAAACTTTGTTGTGTTTCGTTTTAGTCCGACATATCTAAAACGGAAGAGATTGTAAAATTAAAATATTCTAGATACAAATTCCAGACTTTTAAGCGTCATTCTCCTCGATTATCAACTGATTAACCCTAATAGAGAAAGCAGAATTCCGGATTTAAAAACTGCAATTAGATACAAAGTTCATATCATTCAAACCAAAATTCAGTTCTCTCCCGATTTACCGGCATTAAAGTCAAAAATCGAGTTTATAATTCTTATATAGTAGTATAGATGGGTATACATGACGACTTTATGCTTTGAAGATGCTACTTTTTAAGCCTTGAAATTTTGCGTATGAGTCCTGATAAGATTATCAGTATAGTTATATTGTTAATTTTGGTGGAATATTACCTTGTTGTCAAGTAAAGACTTCCATTAGGGTATGCATAGATGTTATCAGTTAATGATGTTTCGAAAAGTCCATTGGGCATTTCATTAGCGATGTAAGTGTCTGGTCTCCACAGATTTTCGAATTCCTCTGCTTTGTACAAGATATAATCATTGGGATTTCGAGAAGCATTTACAAATCGCTGATCCTTCCACGACTGGCGAATGTCAAAGGTCATGTCGGCGTCCTGGCCATTACATATGTTATGGGAAAAAAAATCACTTTGTTTAATTTCACATCACATACAGGGCACCCCCTACTTTTTCTTTCCACAAGGTACTAAATTTGTTAATTTTTATGAATTATGTAAAAATAGTTGCTTTAAAAGAGTAAATACGATTTATTTTACTATGCTGCGCGAAGTATTGCGCAATGAAAACCCCAGTCGGCCCCCTTAACTCAATTTCAGGCACCCTCCACTTCAAACTCGTATTTAATCATTGACCTGCTTTAACAAGGCATCGTTCAAATTCACAAACTTTTGTCTTTCCTAATGAATTATTTCAGACGTCGAGCCTCTTTATTGTAAACAACATTTTAAGATTAACAGAGGATACATCAACTTCTAGTTATGGTACGTTAAAGTGTAGGATGAAACCAGAGACTTCATTCAGAATGAGTAAGTTCAGACGACTCTGGTTTCTCCCTACACTTTAACCATAACCAGAAGTTGATATATTCTCTGTTGTCGTGAGGTAATTTTCGAGGAATTAATGAATGGTTTACAATAAAGAGGCTCAATGAAGGATGTCTGGAACGATTCATTATAGAAATGGAAAAGGTATTTCGAAGCAAACTATTTCTTGTAAAAGTGGGTTAATGATAAAATACGAGGTTGAAGTAGGGGGTGCCTGAAATTAAGTACATGTACCTTGTGGAAAGAAAATGATAAAAGAAAAAAAAAACAAGTATTATCGTATAATTATGTATATCTAAGGATAAAGCAATTACATTGTAATTATTAGAATAATTAAAATATACATATATAATACACAGTATTTGTCAATAATAAAAAATATTTCAGGAAGCTAAATAAACAATTATAATTTTTTCTCGATGGTGTAAAATCATTGTTGAAAATGTTCACTATTTTTCTTAACTATGTTTTTATGTTCTAAGCTTATAGCTAAAAAAAACAAAATAATGAAGAATCTAAATTCATACTTACAAGTATAAGGCTTCTGAACTGTGTCACAAACAGAGAAATAAACACTGTGGTCTCATTACCTAAAATCAATTATAAACATATTGTCAGTTTTGTCCAAAAATCCTAATAATGAATACAATGAGTTTATTGTCAATATAAATTAACCTGAAACTTCCCAAGGAGGTAGAATTCCCTGACACAGACAACATAGAATGCAATGTGTGAGCAAAATAAAACACGGCGTTGAGATTCCGCATCCCTAAAAAGCAAAATAAATTATTTTCTTATGACAAATTTTTAATTATTTATATATTGTATATATTTGAACATTCAGATACTTTATTTTGTTACCTCATTAATTGCTTAACACAGCTTTCATATTTTAATTTGTAACTTTACATTATATACAAAATGCATAAAGTCAGAATTAATTTACATGCTTTACCATCATTCCAAGCTTGCACGGAAGTGACGAAAAAAGATAGAAATACTGGTATATAAAGAGGAGTCTATCTTGAAGATTTGAATCACCCAATCAGTAAAAAGGTAAACATTGAGGAAGTTTTTACGGGTATACTTGTTCTATTACGAGGAGGATATATTTATTGCATGCAATTCAGATAATTATAGTTATATATTTGTTTCTCAGGATTTTAGAATTTCTTCTATAAATTTGAACACGCACTTATCGTGAGAAAACATATTTCAAAATGCAGTAAAACCTGTCAAGGGAGATATCTACTGATAATTGCCGAAGTTCAAATTTTTATGTATACTTCTATCAAATGTCAGCGCAGGCTAAAGCTTAAGAACTTGATTTTTCAAATGAATCCTGATGCTTTGATAAAACTGAAAGTAAAACACAACATCGTGGCAAGCCATGACCAAAATGTACGATCATCTGTAGGAGAGAGTCGTATACACACTCCTCAGGACCGGGGCTTGAGACGATGTAAGCAACAGAGCTTGAAAAGTTTTAACATTTAGACATTTTTAATGTAATACACAATAACATAGTATGTAACACATTAGCGGCCAGTCAATCGTTATGATTAAATTCTAAAATTAAATTTATTTTCATATATTATCTTCATCTTCTTCTTTTTAAAATCGCCAGATGTTCTCTGTTCTTTAAGCTCTAGCCAATATTTTCCTGAAAATTTGCTTTGGAAAATACCTATACAATTTCAATAATTCGTTTATTTTATTAAAGCATAGTATATTTTTTATACACCCCTTTTTCAATCAAGAACATGCTTTGTCTGCATAACATTGGTAACTTGCTATACATAGGTGTACTACTTTTACAAACATAATGTTCAAATTAAAACAAAACCTGTCCATGGAGACTGATTCTCTTAAATAACCATTGGAGTGCTTACAGAGTAGATAAAACTTTTTACTTAGTACCATCTTTATAATTGTTTATCATATTGAAAAATGAAAATTATAGAGGATAACATATGTCCCATTCAAGAACTTTTCACCTACTGATGAAGAGCTTCGAATTAAGACCCTTACTTGGCACTCATGGCCTTTGAGCAGCGAGGGATCTTTTTTTTTAAATATCTTGCAAACGCCTGTCGTGACACGGGACTATTTTTCAAGATCTCATCCGAAAGACCCATGACTTTCTCTTCTAGGACCGAGCGCTTGGTGAAAAAGAAACCAAAAAAAATTGTCATTACCTATGTTTACGTCTTCGGTTTGACACAGCGCCTTGAACGATAATTAAACTTGGGACCTCCCGATCACGAAGCTAGCGCCCTATCACTAGACTACCGTCAGGGATGGGCACGATTACTGACAAATGTAATCGATTAATAATCGATTATTCAATGAAATTTTGTGTAATCGATTAATAATCGATTACACTCATTTTTGTCCTGTAATCGATTGTAATCGATTACTTTGGAAGATGTAATCGATTAATAATCGATTACTTTCAAGTTTTTATCCCTTCAAATATCAAAGCAATATTTTAATGGTATATATGTTGATGTTATCCACTGAAGTTTGATGTGTTCCTGCAGTTTCATTTCAGATTCTTTTTAGGTTTTTTTCTGGTTTAGTTTCATATTTTAGACCTAGCATTCTCACTAAATGCCCAAATGAGGGATTCTCTACCATGGAAGGTGGAGAAATGATTCCTACAATAAAATATGCCAAGGAATTAATTATTCCTTTCAACCTTGGATCTGAACCTCCATATTTATTGACTTGTTGCAATATTATTTAATATTTTATTGTGAATTACTTCATAAGAAGTATTTGGGCTGTCTGTATGTTGACAATACACATTAAACATTCCTGTACGTGTCTTTTTCCAATAAGTAATTAAATTAGAACTCTTCGTAATAAACATGTAAATGAAATGTGTCTTAAGTAATTAAACTAATAGCACAATTTCATTCTGTATTGAAATAAGTGTTTTGAGAGCTTTTAATTGTTTTAATAATATTGTTTGTCTTCAATGGAATGAAAGTTAAACACTAGGTAGTTCACAGTTTACACCTCATTATCTGCAAATCAGGGATGTCTCTGTCAATTAATTAGCCAAGATAAGCAAACACAGTGACACTTACTCCCTCTCTTACAGACACTTATATAACCTCTCACTGATATAAAAGCAACCTTACAATTTTGAATGAAAACATGAGAATGATTTTGCAAATTTTAAAGTTACTAAAACACAAGTTTGAAGTTTTTAAATCCTTTTCAGATATGAATAAGTATTTCCATCTTCTTCTTTTTTTTTTTTTGGAGTACAATGTAGTGTTCTTACCAAATTATTTATATTTAATACAGCACTTAAATCTGTTTTTGCTATTTATAATTTTTATTTTCTAATACAAGACAAAGTTTTTCAACATTTGCAATATGAAAAAGGATATATGCAGCAAGAGGACAGTGGGTCAGATGAAAAATCTGTATATTTTATTAATAAATGGTTGAAATACACTTCTGAATTATTTAATACTAGACCAGAAGGTCTATAATGCAAATTTTATTAAGGACATTATTAAACTTAAAATAATAAAAGTTAGGAAATATAAACATTACACCAGCTGGTTTATATTTGATATTTATGTGTGACTAGCTGGAAATAATTCTCCAAAATAACATCCATTTATGTATAAAGTAATCGAAAGTAATCGAAAAAGTAATTATAATTACATTGAAAATTTTAGCTGTAATCGATTAAATTACGATTACAAGTAATCGAAATTCTCTTCGATTACAGATTACTGTCGATTACTTGAAAAAAAGTAATCATTACAATCGATTTCGATTACTCGATTACGATTACCCCATCCCTGACTACCGTGGTCAAAAATGTTAGTGGATAATTTTCTGCAATACCTAATGATGTTGTCATTTAGCTATGATCTGCATTGCTTCCATTGTTTCAATTGCTATAATGATTTTTGGGGGAAGGGGGTGGGGTGGGTAATTTTATACATTTCTTGACTGTCTTTAAAAGCAAAATGTGTTTTGTCAGACCCGTGATCAAAACTGTTTGCCCGAGGCCATTAATACTATTGATTTTTTTATGTGTTACATGTCTCTTGAAGATTTTACACATTCAAAAATATTTTTAAAAAATAAATGTTTATATTTTTTGAAAAAATGACTATTTGACTCTTCTTGATATGTTCTCTTTGATATAATTATACATGTAGCAAATTATGAGCTCTAAATAGAGGATATCTATATTTTGTGATTTGATATTTGCTTAGTCCAACGAGTTGAATGGTGTATATTCACTTGCCAAGCGAATATGCACCATTTCAACGAGTTGGATAAAACAAAAATCAAAACACACATAGATGTTATATGTATCGTATCGAAATTTTATGCTGAATAAACAACCCTAGTCTGACCTTGTTTTGATTTTTCCGCATTCTTTTCGGTTATGGTCAGCTATTTGTCGGGATTTATGACCGTCAAAGAGTGACATCTTAACCTTTGGACACCTCTTCATAAGAGGCCAGTTGGTACATACTTTTATTTCATCAGTATAAATATAAATACCCTTTGTACCTATTTTAAAAGGTAAACACAGAGTGGGGTGTTCTTTTTGATGACTACAAATACTATATCGTATATCTATATATTTAGGTACAAAGATAGATAGTAAATTTGACTTCCTCTTGCTGTAAGCGGTCACGAACCTCTTCATTATCGACCATAGTATGTTTAATAGCTAGGCGCTTTACATTTCATAGTTGAATAGCAACATATTTTCCTCATAGAGGAAGATCATTTCATTTGAAATACTGCGTCCCTCTTCATATTTCAGATCAATAAATAAACTAATATATACATTAAAATAATGCACGCAATTTATTGATTCAATTATAAATGGATTGGGCAGCAGATTTTGCTCAATCAAGCAATTTTTATACAATAGATTGTTTTAGGCCGAGTCGGCAATATTTCAACCATATTTTGGCGGTATACAGTAAAATAAGGAAAGATACAAGACTTGCCTTTTCTCTCCTAATATATTGTCAAAGCTTCTACTCAACTCATTTGTTTATTAAGCAACAGAAAAATGAACGAGAGAGAATGAGTCATCTTTTCCGTTGTTTGATAATGAACATGTTGAGTAATGGATTACTGTTATAATACGCGGAGATAAGCATATAAGCTGACTCAGCATATTATGGTTATCTATAGATTTTTAGAAACCGTCTATCATCACTTAACTTTGCACCATCGCAAACCACGGGTTTTGTGTCCTATTTTGCAGCGGGCAGCCCCGTGTTTATTGAAATAAAATTGACTGGCTATGATGTATATTTTTCTACCACATTTTAAGCGGTCAGCGTATTCGCTAAATGCCTTATCATCTGTTTATGGCATGTAACCAAAATCTTTCGCAACCGGAAGCTTCGTCAAAGCGCTACCTATGATCTGTTTATACCAAGCAGCCATCGCAACCTCTCGGGCCTCTCTGACCTCTGACAGCCAAATGTCCGAGATGATCACTCGGCTTGAATTCGGGGGGGGGGGGGGGGCTGCAGGGTCTAAACCCGCCGGTAAATCCAAAGTAACATGGACGTTTTCTGTTAAAGTTTTTACAACCATATACGATCAAAATATTTTAATACTAGTATTTTAAAGAAAATTTTTATGGGATACTAAGAAAAGTAATTGAAAAAATTATTGAGAAAACTTATGAAAATTTTAATCGGCATTATTCTCTTCTAAAATTCATCGAACTTTGAAAAATATGCAAAGATTCAGCTGAGAGAATTGTAAGAAACCTAAAAAAAAATTAAATGATATACGACATAAAAAATCTTGACAATGAACAAAGATTTTAATTGACAACTAAAATCTGATTAAACACTTGTTAAATATGTCATGACAATGAAAAATATGTAAGTTGTGAACATACTTCGAAATGTTAAAATTTTTGATTATGATCTTTATTTTGAGCATTGGAGAAGAAATAAAAATGACATGATAATATTCGAGTACATGTATAAGCATATTGATAGAAATTAACAATCGCATTTTTAATAAAAAATATCGATGGCAATTGCTTATAATAGATATAATAATAACAATATTGAAAGTAATTGGCATTGTTTACGACTAATTTTTGCAATGGCTTTAAATATTGTACTGCTCAATGCCCAGAGAAGAGAAATTCTTGTAAATGCGTATGTCTTTATTATCATCAACTCCTGCATTCACATCATACGATTGGCACCATACAATCATACGTCATACGATTGACAACACAGGATCATACGAATGACATTCCTCCAACTGACATATCATATGTTCATACGATTTACGGATAAGTAATTTCTCCACATTTCCAGAGATACATTGAGTTCAGTACAGACCAGAGAACGTTGAAACTGTACAACAGCTTTCCAGCTAATGTCACTGCTCGTGCAGTACTCAAGAAAAATATGTGTACTAAAAAATCAGTGACGTAATACACTGACATAGTGGCGCAAAAATTCGAACATCAATAAATGGCTATTACAACCCAGCCCCCTAATTGTGGAACATAGTGACACAATTACTCCCACAAAAGTCCATTCAAAACAATATTATAAGACAACGTTTTGATAAAAAATCTATGACAATTTTTTTTTTATAATACACAGCACAAAATGTTGTCAAATCATGATACCTGCATAAAATATACACAAGATCCAAAATTATCCTAACAGAGTCCACAAATCTACAGAATTAATCTGTTTCTAGGATAAGTCACAATTTATCTACAGGACGGATTAGATTGTTCGTAGAAGTTTTAACTCTCACTTGACGCACCAAATCCTTGTCATCTGGTAAAGTTTCTTGAATGATTCACATGGGATACGAATTTCTCGGAGCATTAAAATCGACAACCAGAACGACATCACCCACTTTCAAGTTTCTTTTCTCTTCAAACCATTTCTGTCTCTCTTGAAGTAACGGTAAATATTCACGTGTCCAGCGTTTCCAGAAAAAAAATTGCCATGTATTGAATTTGCTTCCAGCGTCGTCTACAATAGTTATGTTCTTTCACAAAGGTGCCAGGAGGAAAGTTTGGTTTTGTTTTCATTAAGAGTAAGTGGTTTGGTGTTAAGGTCTCTATGTCCCCATGTTGATCTGAACATCTGGTAATGGGTCGTCTATTAAGAATAGACTCGATCTCACACATCAAGGTATGAAGTCCTTCGTCATCCAAAACTTGTTCTCTCAGTACGCTATTTATGACTTTTCTGACGGATCTCATACTCCTCCATAATGAGATCCTGCAGGTGGATTAAATTTCCATTCGATATTCCTCTGTAGCATAGAATCTTCTATCTGAGACACATTCCATTCATTGATAGCACTCTTTATCTCCCGCTCAGCTCCTACGAAGTTGGTACCATTGTCTGATCGCATCTTGACAACTTGACCTCGGCGTGCAATGAAGCGACGTAATGTTAAGAATATAAGAATCGGTGTCCAGAGATGCTGCTACTTCTAAATGAACTGCATGACTGGTCAAACATGTAAATAGAACCCCATAACGTTTCACATGACTTTTCTTTGGTTCACAATAAATGGTCCAAAATAATCTACGTCTGCTCTGGTGAATGGTGGTTCATCTGGGATCAATCTATCTTCTGGTAAATTGGCCATTTTTTGTTCTCCAACATTTGATCCTTGACGACGACATATCGTGCACTTAGAAATAAGTTTTCGTATTGCTGAAACTGCATGAACAAGCCAATACTTCTCTCTCAAGACTGCCATCATATGGTTTCTACCGCTGTGTTTCAAGTCTTCATGAATTTGTCTGAGAATCGAAGTTGAAATGTGATGGTTCTTGGGTAAGATAATTGGATGTTTACATTCAGTCGGCATACTGGCTCTCTGAAGTCGTCCTCCTACCCGCAAAAGTCCGTCTTCGCCTAAAACTGGGTCGAGTTTCCGTATATAACTGTTTCGCTTCACATGTGTATTTCCTTCTGCAAGCAAGAGTACTCAGTTCATCACAGAATGTTTGATGTTGTACATAACACAAAATGGCAATTTCAGCTTCCATGCAACACTTTTTCGTAGAGTATACCAAGAAGAATGATAGTTGATAAGTTTCTCAACTCTCATCAGGTCAACGCTTAGTTCTGTCTTGTGTATATTAGCAATTAATGCTCTCACTGACACTTTTTTCACTTCTGGATCATCATCTAGTGTTTCACGCAAATTTTCTGTAGCTGTTTCTGGCCAATTATCAACAGAAGTCCATAAAAATTCTGGAGCTTGAATCCAACGTCTATGCTGCACTATTTCCTTTGCTGAAAGTCCTCTTGATGCATAATCTGCAGGATTGAGTTTAGTGTTGATGTATCTCCATTCTTGTGGTGTTGATCCTTCATGAATAACAGTAAGTCTGTTAGCTACAAACGTGTGAAATCTTGATGTTTCGTTTCTAATGTAACGTAATACAGCCATACTATCTGTCCAAAACACAGTTTCATCTATAGGAATGTCTAATTCTGCTTTCAACATTTTATCAGTACGCACGGCAACTGTTGCTGCTGTCAGTTCTAATCTTGGAATACTTGTTTGCTTCAAAGGAGCCACACGCAACTTTCCCATTATGAAAGAACAATGGACTTCGTTGTTCATATTATCCAATCGCAGATAAGAAACAGTCCCATAATCAAGTTCACTAGCGTCTGCAAAATGATGTAATTGGGCAGATCACACTGTTCCAAATCCTACAGGCATAACACATCTGTCTATCTTAAATTCTGATAATTTCTGCAAGTCACAAAACCAGCTGTTCCATTGGTCAGAAAATTTCTCAGGTATGGTATCGAAGATGAATTTTACTTAACTCCTGAAGTATTTTCTTTGCTCTCAGTATGAACGTTGCAAGAAATCCCAACGGATCAAAACCACTACTTATCATGGATAAGATTCCTCTTCTTGTAAGGGGTTTCTTATTAACTTCTATGTTGAAACAGAACACATCTGATTCCACACACCACTGAACTCCTAAGGCTCTTTCTATCGGTAGTGCATCATAATCCAAGTCCAAACTCTTGACTTCTTTTGCTCTCTCTGAGATTGGAATTGACATCATAACATCTCTGTTGTTGCTTATCCACTTTGAAATGTGAAATCCTCTTCGAGTAAGAAGTCTTTGTACATCCTTGATTAAGCCAACAGCATTATCAAAAGTCTTTACGGACATTAGACAGTCATCTACATAAAGTTCTTAAACACGGTATTTATGATCTCAGAATCAAAGAGTCCTTCAGAATCTCTAGCAGTTTTTCTAAGAGCATAATTAGCACAACTAGGCGATGATGTTACGCCAAACAAGTGTACTACCATCTGATACTCTACGATCTTCTTAGTTGTGTCTCCATCTTCCCACCATAGAAATCTGAGGAAGCTTGCATCTTGTTTTGGTACACGAACCTGGTAAAACATGCTGTCTATGTCTCCCATCATTGCAATCTCGTCTTTTCTGAATCTTATTAGCGTACCCACAAGTGAACAAGTTAAATTTGGTCCAGGTAAAAGTTGATCATTCAGCGAAGTGCCTTGAAATCTAGCCGTACAATCAAACACCACTCTCAACTTTTTCTTCTTTGGATGGTACACTCCATGATGAGGCAAGTACCAAATCTTGCCATCCACTTGCTTGATATCTTCAGTTGGAACTCTGACAGCATATCCTTCAGTCATAATCTTGTTCATGAACTCACAATATTCACTATGAAAGTTTTCATTATGATTGAATCGTTTGGCAAGTGACGATAACCGTTGTTCGGCTTGTTTCTTGTTGTTTGGTAATCTGACATCATTAGACCAATTTTATAATGTCCATTCTCAAAACAAATAGAATTCGAAACAAGATCTAGAAACTTTCTGTCATCTCTGGATGGCTCGTGAATGTCGTCAATTGTCCTCTAACTAAAGTCGTAGTTAAACTGGTTACGAATCTGCTCCTCTAGTCTCCTTGCATCAATACGATTGATGGATACACATGAATTACTGTTGTCATTTGGGAGTCTCTTCCAGTGGTCCATTTATGACCCAGTTCCATTGCCTTTAGTGCATTCACACCTATCAAAAGTCCCACATCACAATCAATCACAATCAATGTCATGTAAATGTGGCCATTCTTTTAAGTCTTCCGGAGAAATTACGTCCTTCCTGGACACCTGGTAATGTAGCCTGTGTAAAGACAGGTGGCAGTTCAAATGTATTTTCACCGTGAATATCACTCACTTCCAAATCTGATATGACGTAAGTGTCTTGGAATCTTTCTTGTTAACGAGATTCAACTTAGTTCGCTTTCCCTCCATGTTTAAGGAATGCGCAAGAGTTTCTAAACAAAATGTAGCGTTGCTTCCCGAATCTAGAAATGCATATGTTGTTACATATTTGTCACTGTACTCTGACTTTAGTCTAACAGGCACAATGGGTAATGCCTGCTTCACTGCTTCTCTAGCCCCCTTATGAGCAGCCACCGACAAAGCTGTTGCTTCACTGCCATCACTATCAATTGAATTCCAGAAAACTTGACTGATTTTCCAGGTTGACTGCGCTGACCATCTTGTGAACCTTTGGCTGATGCTTTAGTGTTGCTTAGAATCTCTCTCCCATATATAGGATTTGTAGCTTTCTTCGCTTCTTTGTAAACAAAGTTGACAAGTTGTTGAAATTTCATAATCTGATTCTTTTCTTTAAGATCGTACACTAAGTTTCACCATTTCTCATGCAAGTAGTATGGTAACTTTTTCACTAACAGTTTTAAGTCTTTTGAGTATTCTAAAACTCTGGCTGCTTCCACGTTTTCAATTGCGAACTGACACTCCTTAAGAAAAATACCATAAGCATTCAAGGCCTTCGCATTGTCAGTCTTTATAACTGGCCAGTCTAATGCCTTTTTCACGTACGATTGAGCTAACATATCAGCATCCCTATATCTGTCCTTAAATTCATCTAGTGCTGCCTTGAATCCAAGCTCTGCATCCAGGTGTGAATATCCTAACACAATTTTGTGCGCTTCACCTGAGGTATACTGCAATAAGTAATTTAACCGTTCTTCATAAGAGTCTGTGTTAAAACAAATTCTTCTGTTGAATTTTCTTAAGAATCTCTTATAGTCCATCGGATTTCCATCAAAAGTTTGTATAACTGATCTAGGCTTGTTGAGTTCCCGTGCAACAGTCAATATACCATGGTCGCTATTGGTCGATGTTTGTAATGGCACAGTAGAACATGGTTGATCAGAAACAATATGCGGCACAATGTTATCACTGACATGAAGAGCCGGCGTTTGAGGTGGGGTAGGTATATACGCACTATAGATGTCCTGTGGTATGTTTCTCGGTAACGGTTCATATGAAGTATATGTCTGTTCACAATTCCTGTTTTGTAATGCACTTGTAGAGTGAGGTACGTGTACACAAGGTTTATTCTGTGGTAGACACGTAGACTAGGGTACATGTAAATAAGGTGTATTCTGTGGTTGACACATATTAGATGTTACATGTGAATGAAAAGATTTTCTTCTGTCTTCCCATGGTGGTGCACATGGATTCAAAGTCACATTAACAGTTTCTTTTGTTTCAGGCTTATCACTTGCATGGAAGTCATCCTTCAGAGATTCTTCTAACTCCAAATTCCTCAAAACACTTTTCTCCATTTCCTCAATAATTATGGTTTTTGCATCAGTTATTTCAATTTCTGTTTCGATTTCCAGTTCCTCTCTAAGTTTCAGTTGTAGCTTAGCTTCTTCTAATTCCTTTTTCTTTGGCAATGCTGAGGTTCTGGCAATGAGTTCTGCTTTCTTTGTTGTTCTTTTAATTTTTAGATGGAAAGATGACTTGAAGAACTTATGCTGATTTTAGATTGCACCGATTTGTTTTCGGGTGTTGTGTGTTGTAATAACCATTCTTCAACACATTCTTTCAAATCTGAGAATGAAATATATGGAGATAACGAACAGTATTCAAGCTCAAAAGTCCATAATCAATACAAAATAGGAGCAGAGCAAACACGGACCTCCAAACATCAGAGGTGGGATCAGGTGCCATGGAGGAGTGAGCATCCCCTGCCGACCGGTCACACCCGCCGTGTGCTCCTTGTCATGATCGGGAAATAACGGAAAAATCCGTCGACAATTCAGTGTGTAAATAATGGCCTAACAATTAGTGTGAAAAACGTCAGTCAGCATTTGACTCAATGATAAATTGTATTTGCTGACAAGGTCATTGTATCGACCGTAGAACTTACGAAATGATGACTTTAAACGAGACAGCTGATATTCTCGTTTCATCAACTTATTTGTCAATAATTTACCTCGTTTTAGAAATTGTACATACATGTACGTAGAGCATGCTCTTGCGTATCGAATCAACTGAGAGATATATACCCCGTATGCAGGTGATGAAGGTATATTGCTGCATAAGTAAGGGAAGTTGACGATTGAAAAGTTAAAGTCATCACGTTTATCATAAAGCTTGGTTGTTAGATTACCATTAACGTCTTTTTCAAGTAAAATATCCAAATATGAAACAGATGTGTCAGACTCTGTGATATCTTTTATCTCAAGTTCACAAGGATATATCGTATCGACATAAGAATGGAAATAGCCATTGTTAATTGACAATACGTCGTCGATATATCTAAATGTCGAGTTGAAGGCCACAGCAAGTATTTTCTTCTTTTCACGTACAAGATTTTGGACAAATTCTGCTTCATATGAATACAAAAAAAGGTCTGCTAATAACGGGGCGCAATTGGTACCCATGGGAATTCTAATAGATTGTTGGAAGACCTGGTCTCCAAAAACCACATAGATATTGTCAATCAGAAACTCAAGCATCTTTTTAATGTCA